GACTATCCTGTTGCTGCTGGTTTAACTCCAGTTTCTTGAGGATTCCAATGTAGAGCAAAGACCACAGCTCTCCAGGAAATCCTCCAGGCCTCCAGCGCCAAACAGACTGCTGAGTCATCCAACCTTCTGGGCTGAATGACTATCAGTTTCCCAGCCTTTCTATCCTGATGTTGGACTACTCAGATCACATCCTGTAAGCCAGTCTAATAAATCCCCTTTTAATATGCATTCATTCTATCTTTTAGCGAACCCTGACTACCACACTCAGCCTTTTAAGTGCAGGTGTCTGTCACTGTCTAGCTATACTATATATTTTAAAGTGTATTTATGAAGTAGCTGAGTTGTAAATATACACTGGGGGAGGGGTCTCTGCAGATGTCACAGCAGAGGGAAATGAACCCTCAAGAGGTGAGGAAAAAAACTCTGTTCAGGCTGATGTGTTAACCTAGATCAAACTTCTAGAGAGTTTGATGCCAGAAGATTTATTGCCAGCATATTTAAACATATTATGATTTGGGGGAAACAAACAAACAACCTTTTCTGGGGTAACACAATCCCCAGTGCACAAAGAGGCATAATTACACCAAAACTTAACTCAAAGTACATCTCATTTCTTCCAAGAAGACGAGTTCTAGAAATAGGCTACTTCTATTAGCTTAAGGGCCCAAGGAAGGATCTGGCCTGGTCTTGGTCATACAGATAGCGTAGAGGTCATTCTGGCTACTAGCTACCTCTGGCTCTGGTTCTGGGAGTCCCTGGCTATACAGGTAATAGACAGGTCATTTAGATTACTAGCCACCTCTGGACCTGGTTGTAGGAGCTTGATGTGGTCTGGCCCAAAAGATAATGCAGACCACCAAACTACTGATCACCTCCAAGTCCCAGCCTTCTGGAACAACAAGTTATATATCCTTCCCTTTGAAAGGACTATCCTGGGTGTTTAACATTCCTGGTTTCCCTGGGGACATGTGGGTGCAAGGACCTTTGTCTTCCCAACAATATAAAAATAATATTCATTTTTGAGGTTATTTGTAAGTCACCACAGAAGATATTAGTATTTTAATGCATATCCAATTACTTTTCAACATTTGCTATTTAAAAAATAATTACAATGTAGCCGGGTGGTGATGGCACATGCCTTATAGTCCCAGCACTAGGCAGAGGCAGGCGGATCTCTGTGAGTTCAAGGCCAGCCTGCCTGGTCTACAGATCTAGTTCCAGGACAGGTTCCACAGCAATACAAAGAAACCCCATCTTGGGGGGGGAAGATGTATTTCATGTGTTTATGTGTATATGTATCTTGCCTACAAGTACATATGTGCAACATGTATGTGCCTTGCATCCTTCAAGGTAAGAAGAGGGCGTCTGGAGTTACAGATGGTCACAAGAAGCCATGTAGGTGCCAAATTGAACATGGGTCTTCTACCAGCCCAACAATTGATGTTCTACTAGACAAAATAACATCATTGGGAAAATAACTACTAAGTTTGTCATTTTCAGTGGAACTGGGGAGATGGTTCAGTGGTTAAGAGTGCCTGCTACTCTTCCAGAGGACGTGAGTTCAGTTCCCAAACACCCACCCATAACTCCAGCCCTAGGGGATCAGTCACCCTCTTCTGGTCTCTGTAGGCCCATCACATCATAGGTACACATATACACATACATACATGTGCATAAAATAAGTCTTTAAAGAATTTTCATTAACAGGCATCAAAAATTTGTTATGGAAAGCTGTTGGTAAATAGGGTGCCCATATACCATTAAAATGCCTCTTAAGATTATCTTCTGACTAATGAAGGGAAAAAAAATCACCTTTATAATGGAAGAGTACCCAGCTTACCACAATGATGGAACAAAGTGACACCAGGAATATCACCTCCCCAGTGATGCACTAAGGATAGTATAATCTGTACTCTTGTTTTATAAATACAAAACAATGTTTTTTTTATATGAAATAAAACAACAAATCCAAAATAAGGACATTGTGAAAAGTCAATGGGCTGGACTCTTCAATAACATCAATGTTATAGAAGACCAAAAAAAAAAAAAAAAAAAAAGGAAAGGAAAGAAAAGAAAAAAGAAAAACAGGATGGGTGGGAAACTGACCTAGAATAAGATTAACCCAAGGAATAAATCAAATGTGAACTTTGGATTTTGAATGAGAGAAACAAAACAAAGGCCGTCAAATGCTCTAACATTTAAAAATGTATTGGTTATCAGCTAACAGTGTTGTATATAGACCTTTCTAGGGGACAGGCTTTTGGGTGTCCAGGGCAAACACGAATGACTTAATCAAATTTGGTAGTGACGAATCCCTACAAAGAGAGTAGGGCGGGGGCTGTTTCTGTAGGGGGAAACATTTAGAAGCAGGTATATAGTGAAATTCCAGTTTAGATTCTTAAGTACTTAAGAGTCTAGTGTGTCTTTGTGACCCAAAGTACTTATGGAAGCTGCAATGAAGGCAGGATAAAGGACTCAGGATGGTTGCTATCAATTCTTAAGAGTTTTAGGGAAACATGCCCAACCATAATTCTTTCCATTTACCCTTTAAAGGGAAAATTACAGCAGCTTGTGCAATTGGCCCTGCCCAAGGGATTGAAAACTAGCTAGGGATGGGGGGGATTATCTGGGTGCCAATAATGTCTTAAACCAGAGAACTTATAAAGAGGGAAGAAAGATGGAGGTTGGGTGTAGTGATATATTACTTATGATGTGTTAAAGCTTGCCTGAGGATTCAGAAAGCAAAGTCAGCCTCAAACTACAGAGATCAGGCAGTGGTGATACACACCTTTAATCCTAGGACTCAGGATGGACCTCTGTGAGTTCAAGGCCACTCAGATCTACACAGATTGATCCAGTCCTAAAGAGAAACAGCTCACACAAAGATGATCTCACCACCTGGGATCACATGCCTTTACAGCATTAGGGAGGTGTATTAGATAGGAGCAATGTCTTCAGTATCAGCCATTCATTCTCCAGCCCTGTCAGAAGTTTAAGAGTTCTCTAGTAGCTTGGCTGCTTTGCTTCCCTGACCTTCAGGTTGAACCCTAATTACCTGTCTCTGGGTCTTTTATTAATTCATGTTACAGTTAGGAGGTGAGATTATCACCATTAGGACAGGCTGTCCTCTGGGATTTGATCCTTGCCCAAGATTATACTGAACATAGGAAGGTCCAGGTACTTTCCATAGGGCCTAATAGTTTACAAATGCAAATAAAAAATGAAGGAAAAGTTCTTACCTTGTGCAGCATCCAAGCATTAGTTTTGTTTGAAATCCCTTTCACATTCTAAATATGAGGATGGAAGGTAAGGAACACATTATAGGACAGAATATCAGTTGCTGTATAACCAACCACCCCATAATTTAACAGTTTTAAACAAACTGTCTCACAGTTGTGTGATCTCTGAAGCCTAGACTGTGGCTGTAATATCTATTTCCAGGTTCATGGTTGTTTGTAGACTTCAGTTTCTAAATCTCCTGTAGACATCTCTAAAAGAGTGCTCATGACACAACATAGCTAACCCAACAATGGCATTTGCAAAGGATGGGAGAAGGGAGTCTTCCTCTGTTACAGCTTAATCACACAGTGATGCATCATCACTTTTGCTATGTTCACAAACAAACCCTGGTTCACTATGGAATGCCAGAAGACAGGGACTACCAGGAGTCATCTTTGGAGGCTGGCCTGCCACACAGGTTCTGCAATGCAAACTGCCATGATTTTTGGATAATGAGTATGAAGTAATAGAGACTGACCTCGAAAAGAGCTGCCACAAATTGATCAGTTTATAGAGTTCTATGCTCAATGCTAACGTGCACACATCAGAGCATGGGCTTGAGAAGTTTCTGGATGTTAAAAGTAGCTATTAATAGTGTAGATAACTCAGACTACATTGCAATAATACAAACTCTAAGTCCTTAAAGTTACAAAGTTATTAAGATCTTTAGTAAAACATTAAAGGTTTTTTTTTTACTTCACACAAGTAGAAATTAATATTTTAGGTATGTCTCACAAAGTATGTTTGTAATAAAGGCCACTGTGAAAGCTCTTCAGAGCAGGTAAGTTTCTAATTAATCTGGCAAAGGAAAGGAAGGTAATGTCTGCTGATAATTTCCTATCAGTATAGTTAGAACTTGGAGGTCAAATGCGTAGAAGTGATCTAGAAGACCACAATACTCCACTGTAATTTGATGCAGCACTCAGCTCATTTACCAATTCTAACATGCCCACGTAGGATAGCTGGCCCTTTGTTACCTACCATATTAGTGTTTAAAGCCATGTTAAGTAACCAATAAATCAATAAAAACCAACTCCAAATTACTACTATCCTAACAATCATTTCATAATTCTCCCAGGCAGAACCCTCCTGACCTTAGGAATGTAACCATCTCCAGAGGCCCCGACTCCCCACTGCTTTAGCAAGCCAGCAACCCTCTTAGATTTAGCAGAGCCAGCTTTCCATTAGTACTAGCCACCAACCCCTTAAGTCATTTCCTAGAATTCAGATGTTTTTACTGAGTTTAATATGTCACAGTTTCTTAAAGTTCTCTACAAATTCTTTCAAAACTATCAACCAACCACCTGTGTCCCAGGAAGAGGTTGAGTGCAAGCCATACTTCTGGACGGAGACAGGTATTCTACAGGGCGACGACGGCAGCCTAGGCGAAGGCAATGGCCTTCCTGGCTTTCCTCCCCTGGTGTTAGGGTTTGGAAGCACCCCTGCACATGCAGCTATGAAAAGGAGGCTACAACAATCTGACACAGAAGGCTTGTAATATGGTATATGTTGCTTGTGTATCTTGTTTTGAAATTAACAACGTTAATAAAAAGTTTCATAGTGAATACATGTTTATTATAAAAAGAATATACAAAATACAAAAGCCGAATTCTTTCTGGCTACTCTCCATAGCCCCAGTTCCTCTCAGAGGTAACACAATAGACAGACTTGGAAAAAAGCTTTCCAGACCTCAGTTATAATACAATCCCAATAGTACTATACCATGCTAGGTATTATCAAACATTTTGCTTTTCTATTTATTTGCTTTTGGCAGTGGAGCGGGAATCTAATTCAAGGCATCACACATGCTGGGCAAGCAAGTGCCCCACCACAGAGCTCCCCCACCCTCTCAGCCTTTTCCTTACTTCAGATGCCTTACAGGCAATTCACATTATTGCACTGAAGCACTGGCTCATTCTTTCCAACAGTTACAGGGTATAGTACATAGTACAGACATTCTGTGCCGTATTTAGCAGGTTCTCTCTACTGGTGCCTGGATATCAATGCTGTGGTGAGCATCCAATTGTACATACCCTCTGCCCAGATGTACAGTTCTGCTGAAGAGATGGCTACAGGATAATGCCTCAGTACAGGCCACACTTATTTTAGAGCCCTTAAAACAAAGAGTCTTCCTTCTCTGTTTCAAAGCAATGAAATGTTACTAATCCAAAGTTTTCTAAACAATACACTTGATTTGTCAGAGTGGAAGAATTACATTGTATCTACTTCAATGTCTGGCACAAGGTTGAAACTCAGTGTATGCTGGATTGATAAAGACAGACTAACTAGACACAGGTATAAAATGAAAGGTTCAGATCTCTTTACAGTTAGAAACCAGGTTTTCATGGATTAGTGGTGAATCAAGATTCCATGTTTTATACTTCCAGATCTGAGGTATAAACATGGAATACATGGAATAGTTGTTTCCCCCCTCCCCCCTTCGGCAATGTTGCAAAATAAATGCAAAATCTTGTTTTAGTCTTGAAGTCTTCTCAAGGAATTTGAGAAGGGAAAACAAATGAAAGGAGAAGGAAATTGTAAGACTGAAAACAAAACAGCAACGAGGAAATGAAATAACCAAGCAGGCACATTTGCATTCATTTTGGTTCTAAAGTCAAAATATATGCCAAACACAGTCTCTCTCTCTTTCTCTCTCTCTCTCCACCCAGTCTGCAGAGACCATCTTGAGCAGGCAGCTGACCAGAAGGAACCATCTCATCTTTGCTGAGCCTTGGCATGGAACATTTCTTCTAGGCAGTTTTGGGAACACAGCAATGTCTGAAGGTGACACAAAGCAGTCTAATGTCATTACCTTGGAAATGAGCAGATGGAAGGAAAGGTAGAAGTTAATCTGACTCCCATAGAACACTGCATAAAATGGTACAAGGCTTCTACACAGTTCAGAAGCATGTAGAACAAAGCTATGAATGAACCTATGAATATGTTGAAACTTAATAGTCTCGGGCATTAGGCCTAGGCCCATACTTGGCACAGGGAACACAACTACTCGAGAGGCATTGGAACCATGGGGACTTTGCTTTGTCTTTGGGGAAAAGGATGCTGAGGACTTACTCCAGGGTCTGATATAGTAAGTGATTGTTTCACAACTGTACCACACCTCCATTTCTTTATCATTTGTTTCATTTGGAGATAGGGTCTCACTAAGTTCCCCTGGCTAGCCTAGAACTTTGGATCCTCCCACTGCAGCCTTCCAAGTAGCTGAGATCACAGGCATAAGCCATATCATGTCACACTCAAGTTTACTTTTCATCTGTGCCCTATCCACAGCAAACTGACTGCTGACCTTTTCCAGCTATCCCTTCTGGGATAGCAACCTGGGCCTCCCCTGCACAGCTCAGTCAAGCTGTTTTCTAGCCAGCCACTGAGAGCCTGCCAATACCTTGCGCTCTGTCTCTGGCTACTCAAACACATTAGTAACAGTTCTACACTCAGGGGGAAATGGTAGGAAATGGCCACTTTTCTCTTGCCTTTGCAACTAAAGTTTTTCTATTTGGACACTTACATCCCAACCCACTCTTTGGCACTGTCAGGGTAAAACTTCCAGGCAGAGGCGGAAGTATAGTACACCTCTGCCAGGGGCAGAACACTCCGTCATACAGACCTAGTCCTCACCATGTAAAAAGCTATAGTTTAGGACCAGAGAAAGACTCTCACATTAGAAACAGCACAAAATCCCTGGGTTGTAGCAAAACACAACATAAGACTAGTATGTTTTGACTGTATACATCACATAACTCCAAAGTGATGAATATGAAAAAAAAAATCTCTGAAGCACCATGGGAAAGGCAGGACAACAAAAATCCCTATGTTTTGGAAATGTTCCCTTTTGTACAAAGGAGGAAGCCTGACCTGAAGTCAGGCTGACTTCCACAAAATATACCTGAAATTTGTCAAAGGACAATGTAAAATAAAAGAATTATTTCCATTTTTTATTTGGCAGAAATACAATAAAACAGAATTACTTAACATTAATCAGCTTTCTTATGGACACTAGCCAGGCACAATGAATGCCACAGTAAAAGCTGGGCACCCTGGCATCACCACGTTACAAATATGTTGGTTCACCTAAGAGCAGACCTTGACTTCAGGTATATTATTAGGATGACATACTGCATAGAGTTGAGGCTTCATAGGTATGTGAGCCATTAGTGGCAGAATACTCTCGATCTACTGTCCTTCCTTTGGTAAAGTTTGCATGTTTGTTTATTTCAAGACAGGATTTCTCTGTGTAGCCCTGGCTGTCCTGGAACTCACAGAAACTCCACCTGCCTCTGCCCCCCAGAGGCTGAGGTTAAAGGTGTGCATTACCATGCCCAACCTTCATTTGGAACAGTAAGGGCACAGGGAAAGCAAGTTAAGACTGTTGGTTCAATGTGCCTTCACATAAAAAAACAGACATTAAAGGGATGAGGCTATTGTGACCCCTCTTTACCATTCTGCATGTAAACTCACCTTAAGCCTTTCTTTCAGATGTCTCTCTCTCATTGGCCTCTGAAATCTGTTTCTGATGCTGTACATGGAGGCTGTCTAGCTTCTGCATGTCTTCTGTAAGGCCATTTCTAAGATCTGCGTTTTTTCTCAGAAATGCTTTCACCACATCCAGTTGATTTAAGATCTGCAAGAGGAAGGCGCACAAAATGCTGCTCAGGCTAATTTTACAACAGAACTCACTTCAGATGGAACACTGAGTAGTTTCAAGGTTGGCTCCCAAGGCTGGAGCTGGAGCTCAGCAGCAGGGGCATGCCCCTCAACAACCTGTTCCTGTCTAAATATCTACCAGGGGTCAGAAACACTAGCTAGTTGCACCCATCCACACACAGGTTACATCTGCAAACCAAAAACAATTTCTTTAAAACAAGGTACTCATACCCCATGTTGTAGCTCAAATCTTTGTCCTAGCACTGCGGAGGCAGAGGCAGAGGCATCTCTCTGAGTTCAAGTCTAACCTACTCTATATATTGAGTTGCAGGCCAGCCAGAGACACATGTCTCAAAAAACAAAAATAATAAAACAAGCTCCTTCCACTCAAACCAAACATGACCCAGTATAGCTAATTTTAAGATCACATAGAGGGTGTTGGCTTATTACCTCAAATTTTTTTGCTTCAAAACTTGAATTTATATGCAGTGTTCATCTTATACTTTTGAGCTTTTGTGCCTATACAAGTACTACTGATAGAAGACACAGCTATAAAACAACATTAAATGTTCAGATACAAAATTCCAAGCCAAGAGGGCATGAGGCTCATCCCAGATTGCCTTTATTAGTTCCCATGCTTATTACAAAAACACCAGATACTATTAGTATTATATTAATAATGCATGGGAACTGAATCCATTGTGAAATATTTAACTAAGCAAAGATGTGTTATAGCTGTTTATGCTGCATTTGTTTAACTATGTAAAGATGTGTTGCATTTGTATTGATTAAATACAATTAACTTGGGCTCAGAGAGGTGGAGCTAGCAACTAGTTTATAGGAAGCAGCAAGGAAGAGCATAATGTGGGTTTTTAGTTGGGGCAATGTGGAAGGAGAGTGCCTTCTGGGGACTCCAGCTAAGAGAGAAAGTTAGCCAGTTGCTACTCTAAATCTGAGCTCTCAGGTTTTCACCCTAGCCTTTAAATCTTGAGTTTTATTACAATGCTAGAGATTTAGTTAAAAGCTATCTTTAGCAGCAACAATGGAGCCACTGTCTGGGGAAACAGAATTCCCTCCAGGCTACAGCCTTAGTAGCCTGCTGCTAGTAGTTTAAAGCACAGCCTGTGTGACTGCCATACAACATAGAGCCTTACACTTGCCTACCATTGTGCTAAATCCCTAGTCCCCGATTTGGGGATATAGCATGTTTATTAGATGGGGACCACCAACTCCACACAAACTCAAGATTATTTCAATTCTAACAAGGAGTACTAGTACAGCAGCAGGCCACCCAAGAATGGAAAGGCAGCTCTTCAGCCTTGGACTGCAGAAAGAAGGGATTGGCAAATAACAGGACCAGTGTGGCACCTCAGCCTGCATTCAGATATAAGACTCCAATAGGTAGACGCTAGACGTTGGTTGGGGATGTGAGAAGGAAGACAAACAAGGCTGTGAGAGAACAACTGTGAAGCAGGGAGGGCAGGCAGCTGCTGAAGATGACAGGAGTATGCCCTTCAGGTTGGAGATGTTAGCTGGAAAGACTGAAAACCTGCCTAGGGCCCCCACAAAATGCCAGGTTTCAGCTATTCCTTGGAAACACAAAACTGTGAAGAGCACAGGTGGAATTATTGGTCATAGCATGTGTTCTTCTAGACTGTGCATGGTGCCCTGGCCAGAACATAGGACTGTCTGCCATGTGTAGCTAATGCAGGAATCCTGTCAACCAGCCCTGCATACCACACTAAGCTCCTCATAGGGCCTCTTTTTTCCTTGGTTTCCTAGGGAAGTGTGATGTGAGTCTGCAGGGTTGCTCCCTTCCACTTAGCTTTTTGCTTTTTTTTTTTTTTTTTAAGGTTTTATGCAGAACCCTCTGGTTCTCCTCCACAGCCTGCTCCAGTTTTCTATTTTAAGTTGGTTTGCTTTCTCATTTCCAATGGAAACAGAGATTTAATCTTTCCCTTTTGTGAAGGCAATAAACACATAAATGTGCTTAAGAGGTATGCTAACTCCAGCAGGAATGACCACTCCAGACTGAAGGCAAGGCAGATTAAAAGTAAGCCTTATGTCCTGGTATGTGTTACTAGTGAGACCTTGTCTCAAAACAAACAAGAAGACAGCCTGGGCTCCATCCTCAGTATCGTAAAACTTAACTGATTAAAAACTTTAAGAATGGAGGCCAGATGGATCTCTGTGAGTTTGAGGTTAGCTTGGCCTACAGACTGGACAGCCAGGACTACACAGAGATACCCTGTCTTGAAAAACCAAAACAAACAAATAAATGAATGATTTTTTTAGATTGGTAATCTAGGTGTGATATACACACCTGAAAGACTAGCACTTGCGAGATGGAGGCAGAAGATAAGGAGTTCAAGATCATCCTTGATTACATAATGAGTTTGAAGGTAGCCTGGGCTATAGGACATTCTCGAGGGAAAAAAAAAAAAGCCCAAAACCAAGAAACAAAACAACAAAAAAGTGGGGTGGGGTAAAATGGGAAGCTTATGCATATTCATTTAAAGGGGAAGAGAAAAGAAATGAAAATTGTAGTCATATAGCTTTTTTTTTTTTTTTTTTTTTTTTTGACACAGACAGGGTTTCCCTATATAGCTTGCTCTGTAGACCGGGCTGGCCTCGAACTCACGGAGATCTGCCTGCCTCTGCCTTCCAAGGACTGGGATTAAAGACAAGCACAACCACCACCTGGCTTAGGCTTTGTTACTTTAAGTAGCTGTGTGACTTTGGGTAGGATGACTCCCAACTCATTTTCATATATACAAATTAATGATGACGATATTAATATGACCTAGGAAATTTGGGGGAGGTGGGTTCAAGGGTCAATCTATTAAAAGTATTTCTAGCATTGTGTCTGGCACACATTCATTGAAATAGGTTTAATTTACTAAACGTTAGTTAACTGTGTGTTTGCCTATTATTCCAGGTAAAGGGCACTAAGAGTGTCATCCCTCCAGCCACTTCCACATCCTACCTGTGACCACCTCACCACCTGAAATATGAACTAGTCCATGGTCTGTTGAACAAAAAGGCATAGAAAATAGAAATTTACCTTTTCTATGTAGAGATCTGGTGCCCTTTTCCTTACCCAAACAGGTAAGCAGAGCTAGTAATGTACAGTAGTCAATGCCTCTGAGGTAGCAGACCTATTGCACACGGAGAGCTACACATTCCTAACACTTATTCCTGCTAATCCAAAAAGCTCACTTGCTTATAAAAATCCAGTGTTTCCCTGCTGATTTCAGGGACTAAAGTCCAAAACAGCTTGGGGTGGGTGGCACAGAAAACCTTTCAAAACAGTTTCACCCTACTTTGCCACACTCCTCCCTGATAATAACACCTGTGCTTTCTGGGCCATTACTCAGCCTTTCACATTCCTGTTAAGAGCATCCATCCTCCCAGGCCAACTACGGACCTCTTATAAATCCTTGAGCTGTAGCTTAATAGCATCTTTTCCCTTTTTTCAGGGGGGAGGGGGACATACTCCTGTATGCTGAACAAGCATCTTGTTCCAAATTCTGTTTTAAGTCTTATGCCACTATTCCACTAGGGGGCACATATTAGGTCCTCAAATGTGCTAAGTGAAAATACCTGTTAAAATATATTATCAGGCTGGGGGGTGTCAGCAGAACTTGGGCAAATCTCTATGAGTTCAAGGCCAGCCTGGTCTACAGAGGAGTTCCAGGACAGCCAGGGCCGTTACATACAGGAACCCTGTCTTAAAAAAATAAAACAAAACAAAACAAAAAAGCAAAATAAATTGTGTGATACATCAGAGGACAGGCCGTGGAGGCACATGCGTTTAATCCCAGTACTTGGGAGGAAGAAGTTGCATCTCCAAGTTTGAAGCTAGCCATGTCTACAAAATGAGTTCCAAGATAGCCAGGGCTGTTATATAGAGAAACCCTGTGTCAAAAAATCAAACTAAGCCAAATCAAACAAACAAAAGAACAAACATATGATCAGTAAACACTGGAAGAATATGTACTACTAGAAATCGCTTGACATTATAATCAGAAACCTGGCTCCCTGTGTCTGTCCTGACTGGATTTCCCCTCTACCCCCAAGATAGGGTTTCTCTGTGGCTTTGGAGGCTGTCCAGGAACTAGCTCTTGCAGAGGAATTTTATGTTAACTTGACACATGCTAGAGTTATTTTGGAAGACAGAGGTACCACAATTGAGACAATGTTTCCACCAAATTGGTCTGTGGGCATTTTCTTGATTAAGGATTGACGTGGAAGGGCTCAGGCCTAAATCAGTGTGGGTGAAGCATCCTGGGCAGGTGGGCCTGAGTTGTGTAAGAAAGCAGACTGAATTAAGTCAAGATGAGCATGCCAGTAAACAGCACCACTCCATGGCCTCTGCTTCAGTCCCTGCTTCCAGGGTCCTTCCCTGACTTCCCTCAGTGATGAACTGTGATGTGAGTTTTAAGTTGAAATAAACCCTGTCTTCCCCAAGTTGCTTTTTGTCATGGTGTTTATCACAGCACTAGAAACAGTATCAAAACCAGCTGGTGTCACTGCCTTTCTTCTCACACTTTATCCTTCCCTTTACCTCTTCTGGCAACACCTCTTCTTCTGCTGCTTGAAGATACATGTCTTGCAATTTTTCCTTCAGTAATTCCATTTCAATTTCATGGATTTGGCTCACACTCAAGTAACTTCCTATTTCACATTCACACCCATCTCGTTCATCTTCCTCTGGAATGTGCACAGCCCAGTCAGATGTCAACAGCTGTGGGGTGGCCGCACAAATATATGAACAAATTATTTTTCAAAGTTTGGGTTTTAAAGTATTTTTTATGAATTCTTTGAGAATTTCATATATGTACACATTGTATTTTGATCATATTCACTCTCACTCTTCCCCAACTTCTCCTAGATTCACCCTCACATTAAGAGTTTACTCTTAAGATACGGTTTACAGTGTTGGAGATGGAACTCAGGGACTAACTGTGATAGACAACTAACTTCCCACCGAGCCACACGCTCGGCCACTTGTATGTACTAATGGAGAGCTTCTACTTGAGTGCAGGCTGGACTAGAGTTCCATCTCTAATCTCATAAGGTAAAAGGAGAAAACAGACTCCCAAGAATTGTCCTCTGATCTCCACATTCACTGTGGTGTGGCACACACAGATCTGTGTAGGTGTGTACACTTGTGCACATCCATGTGGGCACACATAATAAATGAACTATTTTAGTGGAAAAGAAATTCTACTGGATAATTCAAAGAATTTGTAATAAAATGCCATTGCTTAGACCTATTTTAACCACACGCTGTTATTAAAGAAAAACTCAGCTTGTTAATTGGACATTTTATACCAGCATTCTTTCCTTTGTTCACATTATAAAACTTAAGTTTGAGGCTGGGGCTGCAGTTTAGTGAGAATGTACTTGCCATGTATGAGGCACATACCTAGGTTCTATTCTCAGGGAGGCCTCCAAATAATAATAGAATAAAATAAAGACTGGGAATATAGTGTGCTTGCCAGGCATTCATGAAGATCTGTGTGCAATATCATCAGCATCACAACAATAATAAAGACATTTTAGTTTAAATAAACATCAAATTCATCTTTTTGTTTGAGATATGGTCTTACTATGTAGCTCAGGCTTCCCAGGAACTTACTATGTAGTAAAAGCTAGCTTTGCAAAACATAGCCATACTTCTGCCTCAGTCTCCCAAGTGCTGGGATTTACATACACCACCACACCTGGCTTAACATCAAATTCTAAATGAATGACTATGGATGTTTTGGACCCCTTAGGTTTGTATACCAGAACAATTAAATGAAGTTTCAGATGGGTGTGGTGGTGTATGCCTATACTCTTAACACTCATTAACCAGGGTGAACATGTGTGAACAACTTGGTCTACATATCAAGTTCTAAGGCCAGGTGGGGCTACAGTAAGATCTTGTCTCAAAAAACAAACAAACAAACAAACAAACAAACAAACAAAACCCCAAATGACTCTATAGATCTTTTTACCTGTTCTATTCTTGAATATACTGCTATAATCTCTGGAATATTCTTGAATTCATTCAGAAAATCTTGAATCTTAATCTGAAAATCTCGAAGCCATGTAGATGATACTTTCATCTCTGAAGAGTGCATTATCTCATTCCGACACTTAATTACCTACAGAAAAACAAAAACAAAGTTGGGCTGGTATGGCTCAGCAGGTAAAGGTGCTTGTTGGGAAGCTCAAGAACCTAAATTCAATCCCTGGAATCCACACAGTAGAAGGTATGATGGACTGAATGAGAATGCCCCACACAGGCTGTGTATGAGTAGTTGGTCCTGATAGGGAATTGTTTAGGAAGGACTAAAGGTGTGTGGCATTGATGGAGAAGGTGCCTCACTGGGGTCAGGCTTTGTTGTTTCAAAACATTCAAACCACTCCCAGTATGTTCTCTACCTCCTGCTTGCAGTTCAGGCTCATGTTCAGCTGTTCCTGCTATCATGCCTTTTACTCCACCATCACAGACTCTAATCTCTCACACCGTAAGCCCAATCAAATGCTTTCTTTTATATGTTGACTTGGTTTACAGCAATGAAAAAGTAATAATACAGAAGAAGAAAACCAACTACTCCAAGCTGTCCTTTGACTCCCATATGTACACAGTGGCACAGGCCCTCTTCCTCCTCAATAAGCCAAGAAAAGTGTAATTTATTTTAAAGCCTTCTAAGTTAATAGGGTAATCTGAAACATTTTAGCTCTTAAAAAGAAATTACAGGAAGACTTTACTAAATTATAAAATTGAGCAGTATGGTATCCAGAGGCCAAGGCTTGTACATTTCATGAGACTACTGCATAACCTAGCATGCACCTTTATTTTGTGCCTGCCCAGAAAGCATCTATCAAGCAGTGAAGTCCCTGTTGGGTCACATACTGAAATGTCCTCAAGGGTCAGGTGAAGCTGGTTTAGATGCCCACATGAAAATGAAGGCAGAAGGGATTGGCAGGAACTGGAGAATGGAAGTCCCATCTAGAGCAGCATCGTTCACTCAACTTGTAGCTTGTTGCTATGGGAGCTTTATGAACTCAGTGTCACCAGGTCTTATTTTTTAATTTCAAAAATAGAAATTCAGACTTAATAACAACTAATTCAAAAGTTGTTTTTAAAATAACTAGGCAGGAACTGGCAAGGTAGTTCAGTGGGTAAAAGTGCTTGTCACCAAGCCTGACAACCTTTGATCCCTGGAACCCACATGATGGAAGGAGAGAAAATTGTCCTCTTACAGTCACATGACCACATCTATATATACACATGTGTTTGCACACACAACAAAGAAATATATGGCACTTGGTGGTTAAGAATACTTGTTGGCCAGGCAGTGGTGGCACATGCCTTTAATCCCAACACTCAGGAGGCAGGTGGATCTCTGAATTTGAGGCCAGCCTGGTTTACAGAGTGAGTTCCAGGACAGCCAAGGCCACACATAGAAACCCTGTCTCAACCCCTCCTCCCAAACCAAGTACTTGTTGCTCTTGCAAGTTCCTAGTACTCACACATGTCTTAGCATAAATAAGTCAGACTTTCCCTCGCCTGGTCATCTGAAACACAGCACCTCACAACCTTCTGTAACTCCAGCTCCAAGAACTCTGATGCCCTTTCCTGACTTCAGAGGCACCAGGTAGGCACATGGTGCACATACGTACATGCAGGCAAACCGTCATGTAACATTAAAAAAGTTACAAATATACTAATTTTGTAAACTGACATAGGACAAATAAAGTAGACCTACAAGCCATATTTTGGTGATAGAATACTGTCAAGGATTAAAGAATTTTTCAACCTACTGGCACACAGTTATCAATCAAGGAGCTAGAGAGGAGGCTCAGTGGTTGAGAGCACTTGCTGTTCTTCTAGAGAAGCCAGGTTTGTCCCCAACACTTACATGGCAGGTAACAACATCTGTATCTCCTGTCCAAAGTGACCTGACATCGTATTCTGGCCTTCACTGGCACTACATGTACATGGTACACAGACATACATGCAGACACAACACCCATACACATAAAGTAAATCTTTCTCTCTTAAAAAAAAAAAAGAAAAAAGAAAAAGATTGACAGTCATGGTAGCATGCACTTATAATGACAGCACCTGAGAGGCAAGGGAATCACTAGCCCTGGAAATCATTCCGTCCCCCAAGTTTATGTCATAAGCTTGAATCATTTTGGAAAAGGGAACCTCAGTTGAAAATACTGCCTCAAATAAATTGGCAGGCGGTTCATTTTCTTGATTGATGGCTGATGTGGGAGGGCCTACCTTATTGTGGGTTATATAAACAGCACTCCTCCATGGGATCTACATCAGCTCCTGCCCCCTGGGTTCTTGGCCTGTTTGAGTTCCTGCTCTGGCTTCCCTCAGTGGAGGACTACACTGTGGAACCATATGTAAGCTGAAATAAAACTTCTTCCCAGGTTGCTTTTGGTCATGGCAATTACCACAGCAACAGAAACCATAAGAAAGTTCTTTTTCCTTTTTAAACTTTTTCCCATCTTCTTTCCCCCGAAATGTCTTAAAACCTGCCAAAGAGCAAGCACATTGGCTCCAGATATAATCTTAGGCTGCAACAGGCAACACATGTGCACAAAATCTTTCAAATCCCATCCAGTGCCAGGAAGCTGTCTGTGTAAAGGGAGATTTCTGATGTGGAAACCATGATGAAAGCAAAATAAACTTTTACTCATGAGAAAAGCGGTGCTATCATATATTTAAAGACAACTCAAATAGTCTGTCTTCTCTAGATGTCTTCTAGAAGATGGGGTCAACCACTACATTAAATCTTCATCTTTGGGAGGGCACAAAAGGATTTTTCCTTCAGTTGCTGCCATGCTGTTCGAATAGTATCACTTTTGACCAATAATAAATAATTCAAGGCTTCTATACACTCTCTTCAACGACCTCAAAGTTATAAGTGAGTAAGGGTTATTCTGTGGTGATATATTGAAAATCAAAAATCTTAAATCTTGCAGCATTCTGACACAGGAAGAATTATCTACCCTGACATGTATCATGCATTAGTGTTTACATTTTTTTTTTTTCAGTTCTACCTCATTTGATCTCACAGCTATTTTACAGAAGGGACAGTGTTGTTTTTCTTTTTCTTTTTTCTTTCTTTCTTTCTTTTTCTTTTTTTTTTTTGTGTGTGGCTGGGGATGAGGATAGGATTCAGAGCCTTGTGTATGCCTTATACGCACATTACTACCGAGTTTCACGCTTAGCCCTATTTAAGCTTTTCAAGATAGGAATTCTGTCTGGAACTAACTTTGTAGACTGGGCTGGCCTCGATCTCACAGGTATCTGTCTCTACCTCCAGAGTGCTGGGATTAAAGACATGTGCCACCACCACCCTGAGTTTTTTGTTATGTGTTTGTGTGTTCTGTGCATGTATGTAAGTTCACATGTCTGTGTAGAAATCAGATGCTGACAATGCCACCTTACTTTCTGAGATAGGGTCTCTCTGTGAACTTGGAGCATACTGATTCTGCTAGACAAGATGTCCAGCAAGTCTCTGGGATCCTACTGCCTCTACCCCTGACCCCAGTACTGGGATGACAGATGTACACTGCCACACCCAGCTTTTACGTAAGTGCTTGGAATCTTAACTTGCACAGCACATGCTTTACTGACTAACCCACCTCCCTAATACTTCAGGCCTATTTTTTATACAGAAAATGACTTTGCTTCTAATTATGGCAGAGAAGATAAATCTGAGCTGTATGTACTTAAGTAGCCATCAACCGTGTGGTGGCTTGAATGAAAATGGCCCCATAGGGAGGGACACATTAGGAGGTGTGGCCCTGTTGGAGTGGGAGGAAATGTGTCACTGGGTGTGGGCTTTGAGGTTTCAGAAGCCCAAGATGGGTCCAGTGTCTCTCTCCCTGCTGCCTTGGGATCCAGATGTACAACTCTCAGCTTCTCTCCAGCCCATGTCTGTCTGCAGGCTGCCATGCTTCCCACCATGATGATCATGGACTGAACCTCTGAACTGTAAGTCCCAATTGAATGTTTTCAAGAGTTGCTGTGGTCATGGTGTCTCTTCACAACAATAGGAACCCTAACTAAGACAAGCACAGTAATAAACTGTCAGGAAACTTTAAGTTTAGAGAACTGCAGGGTTAGTGCTTGACCACATTCACATTCAGGTTCTTGGACATCAGAGCAGATACACATGACATGAGGCCCATGAGTTGTTTAGTGATGCCAACTTTGTCACTGCTCTTCCGAATAGCTGCCATGCTGCACCTATATGGCTGGCTTATTACCATCAAGGGAGTTTCACTCCAGCCTTCCCAGTGCTAACCAGACTGGTTGCATGGACAGTTCTGAATCTGACAGCTCTTACCTCTGTGACTTTCTTCCGGTCAACCATGAAGTGATCACAGGAATTGATGAGACTTAAAAGAGCAACTGCATCACATTCCTCAGGTCCTCGTTTGTCTGCCAGTCCTCGAGGCATGAAGGCCTATAGTAAGGGGAGGTTATTAGGTTACCTGAGTAACCTCCAACTCTGAGGGCTAGAGAGGCAAAGTCTTTCTCCATTTCCTAACTGATGACTATTCCTCGAAGTTTCAAGCTAGAACCCTCATGAGTTCAAAATGCAACTGGGGAAAGTCATATCACTTGAAGCCTTGGCAAGGGCACTAATTGAAGGGCTGCAGTAACCCTCTGCAATATTACACATAGCTGATGTAACTGGCTTTCTTATCTTGTCCTTTTGTTTTGCTTTGAGACAGGGTCTATATTATATAGTCCAGGCTATCTTGAAGATTACTATGTAAACTAGGGTGGCCTCAAAGTCTCTGAGATCTTCCTACCTCTTCCTACTGAGTGCTGGTATTAAAGGTATGCACCACCACGCTTAGCCTCCTGTCTTTCTTATTTTGAGACAAATCTAAGTTTCCCTGACTGGCCTGTAACTTACTATGTAGACCAGGCTAGCCTTGAACTCAGTCTTTTGAGTGCTGAGATTTCAGATATGCACCACCAGCTTCTGCGCTGTCTTAGAGGTATATCAGAAAGGCAAATGCTTCCCCCCCCCTTCCTTGATGAAACTGCAGTGCCTGTGTCATTAAAGAAGACTAAGCAATTCCTTAGTGACTTGAGAAACTTCTATCTATCACCATCAGAACCTGAAGTGTAAAAGAGCCAGGCTCAAACACCAGCTAAGCCACAACCTTATGGCCTTAGGCAAGTTACCCAATCTTTAGTCTCTGTCAGCCTTAGGAGTAAGAATGGCGTGAGGAGGAAAACAGGGAGAACATATGATATAAAGGCATCAGCAATTATGACATCAGTGGTGTAAGGCAAATAGGTAACACACATGGAGTAGACAGGGAGCTTAGGCCTGAGACAGCAGACATAATGTAGAACCACCCTGGCTTAAGCTGAATCTTCTAAAATGAGTCGCATAAATGCTGTGACAGCAACACAAATATATTTATTTCCTCAAATATCTACAAACTTAACACCTGGACATGGAAACTTTATTTTCCAGAATAGGAGACTCAAGGTACATTCCTGGTACAGAAGAGCATCTGCTAGAGCAGATGACACATGAAAAATTACTTATTTGGGAGTAGTGATACATGCAAGTCTGTGAGTTTGAGGCCAACCAAGGTTACATAGAGGACCCTGTCTCAAATGACAAAATAAATAAAGTAATAATAAAAATCTCAATCAGAACTCTAAATAAGAGATATGTTCCACTGAAAGCAAACAATACAGTCAGGAAGCAGCTATGAAGCTTTCTGCAGGATACGCACAGGGAGCATCAGAGTCAGGTTATTATTAAGGTTCTCAATGATAGGAGAACCCACAGCTGAACCTCCCATAGCTCAGAATCATCACAATCTTCCGGTCCGTTAGGGATGCTAGAGAGGTTAACAAAGAAGCTAACCTAACATGTGACTGATATAAGGAGACCAAAGAAAACAAAGAGCTCAATAATACAGCTGTTGCTGAAAGGAAAATGCAGTTAGGAAGCCTCGGTGCCTCCAAACTGGCCTGTCCTTTCTTTTCCCCTATAGAGTAGATTTTATCTAGTATGTCCTTTCTAATACACCTTATCTTTGCCATTTTAGTTTTGTTTGGGTAATTATTTCCTTTCTTTCAGAACCAGAAGCCAACAGGAAGGCTCTATTGCCTCCCTAATAGCCCTGCACCAGCATATTCCACTTGGCAAACACATAGCAGAGAAACACCTACAGCAGCCCCTCTGCCTTCTGTTTCTTCACTTTGGAAAAATGAACTGTGTGTGTGGTGTATGTGAGAGTGTCTGTGTGTGCGTGCATGCCCACAGGAGACCAGAGCCTCAGATTCTATGGTGCTGGAGTTACAGGAAATTACAAGCCACCTGACATGGGTGAGTCTCTGCTATGGCTGAGGGCCAGATATGCCAGCAGCAGAGACCAATACTAAGCCTGATATGACACTACTACCCACGAGTATTCAACAAGGTAACAAGCCAAACTCCTATGTGAAAGGCCATACATCTCACTGTGTTTAGAATTGCAAAAGCAAGCCCAGATATGAAGACTTTCTGTGTGAACAGGGACGGGGTGAGGGCACACAACGGGGGCACTGAGGTGTAGCAGAACAAGAATGCTAAGTCGGGGAACCCAGGAATTGAAACGAGGGAGCTAGACAGGGAATGTGTACACAAGGTTGAACTGAAAGTGGCCAGCAACCAAGAGGAGGAAAGGCTGGCAAGAGCAAGTGGCACAGGCTTCAGAAGAGCTCCAAAGCTATGAAAGCTGCGACCAGTCACAATAAAGGGGAGACTTTTATTTCTTCCAGGTGTTTTTCCTGTATGCTCCAGGTAAAGGCTGAAATTGGAAACTCTATTGGGACAACAACAACAAAAAGATGGTGGAGGTGGATGGGGCTGGAGAGATGGCTCAGTGGTTAAGTGGACTTACTGTTCTTTCAGAGGACTGGAGTTTGGTCCCAGTCACCCATGTGGGGAGACTAACAACCACCTGTTGCTCCAGTTCCAGTGGATCCAATTCCCTCTTCCGGCTCTAGTGAGCTCTAGAATGCAGGTGACATACACTCACACATTAACATAATAAAGTTTTCTTGTCTTTTTTTTTTTGAAACAGTGTTTATCTATGTAGACTAGCCATGTAGGCCAGGCTGGTCTTAAACTCAAGAGATCTGTCTGCCCCTACTTCCCCAGTGCTGGGATTTCAGGCAGGCACCACCAAGCCCAGCCCAACAGAAACTTAAAAAAAAATAGTTTTATTTATGTGCACTGGTGTTTTGCCTGTATATATATATACATCTGTATGAGGGTGTCAGATACCCTGGGAATGGAGTTACATACTGCTATGAGCTGCCATGTGGGTGTTGGGAATTGAACCCAGGTCCTTAGGAAGAACAGCCACTGTTCTTCTTAACCACCGAGCCATCTCACTAGCCCCCAATAGAAATTTTCTAATAATAATAATAATAATAATAATAATAATAATAATAATAACAATAATAAAGGACTGCTGGATATAGTGGTACAAATCTGTAATCCTAGACACTTTGGAAATGGAAGCAGGGGTTCAAGGTTAGCCTGGGTTGCATGAGACTTTGTCTTAATAAACTGGATAAAGATAACGAGCACAGTAGTAGACCAAACATGTTAATGCAACCCCGGCAATGCTCACTTCCACCTGCCAATTGTTTGCTTGCTCAATCACTAACTCACAAACTCAATTTGTGTGCCCCTCCCTGCACTCACTACTGAGCTTTCAGGAAATACCAAGAAATCAAAACAAATTCCCAATCAGCCCAGGCAGTAAGTCACAATACCAAAATCTAAAGACAGGCCTAAAAACCTCTACCTCATAATTCACCACACTTCCACCTTCTAAAATTTTATATCTTAGCTAAGCACTCCATGGACAAAACGAGGCTTTTAGTGAGCCTGACTTACTGCACACCTTATCTGTTCTTCCACGTCCCTGGTCTGTATCTTTTTCCCCCTTCCTCTGAGACAAGCTCTTAAACTATATAGACCAGGATATCCCCAAACTCGCAGCAGCCCTGCCTCGGCCTCTCCCGTAGTGGAATTTAAGTGTGAGCCACTGCACTGGGCTTTACTATACGTCTTGCCCTAGCATCTCTTATGGAAATGTTTACTATAGTTTTCAAGAAGCAAAGCTCAAATCCTTGCAGGAACCAAAGAGGTAAGTTTCTTCTTGACTGAACTGGGTCGGGTCCATTCTAACAGCCCTTAATCACTAGAACACTAGGCCAACCAATCTTAGTACCTGTAGTTTAAGTCCCCGCCTGCACTCATAACCCACCCTCTGCCCTGGAGGAGCAGGTGATCTGCCTTCTGCTTTCCTCGGGACTCCAAGTGCTTACCTTGGCTACCTCCCAAGCGTCCACAGGCCAGAGGCCAGGCCGGCAGTTTCCCCAGTGCACGTCTCCATTTCTGTTAACGTGATGCCTCAAGATCTCACGTTTCCACTCTGTGCACACCTGACACTGAGGCTGAAACTACAGGGGGCAGCGGTGAGGCAGGATCCGGGAAACCGCAAGGCGAAGAAATAGGAACACTCTGGGAGCGGTAAACAGCCCCGCCCCTCAAAGGAAAAAAAACAAGCACCGGGGACTGGGGACAGGCTGGGGATGTGTGTCCCAGCCTTGGGCCAGCAGCTTACCTGGCGAGCGCGCGGGTTGCACCGGGAACCGCCGCGGCAGGTGGCGTTGGGACCAAGGCCGGGGACCGCAGTCAGCAGTCCGCGATGGAAGGAGAGCACCTCGCGGTCGACGAAGCCTTGCAGGCAGCTGCGAAGCAGCAGCAGGCAGTGTCCTGCTTTCACCCAGTTTTTGTACTCAGTGCAATTGAGGCGCGCCGCCAGCTCCGACAACACCATGTCTCACACCGGGGCAATGAAAGGCGAGGACCAGCGGCGGTACGCACGCGCAAGACCCTGGGAAGCTCCCACAGCGCAAGCGCTTTAGAAGCTTTCACACAGCGCAGGCGCAGCCCCACCCAGAAACTCTATCCACTCTCATTGTCAGTGCGGGCCATCATGACACAAATTAGAGGCGGGCCATTCTTCCACATCCAGGAAGCAGTAGCTCCACTACTTAAAGGAACCGCCTAAGGTTTGTGGACTTGAAGCATTCAGATGCAGCCTCTCTGATGAAAGACCTAAGGCCTTAATTCTCATTTTCTCAAATACCCTGGTAACCATCTAAACGGGATCCCCTCCTGATGGGCGGACTCCCGTTTTGACTCCTTCATTGTAAAGACAAGAGTGTTCAATGCTTGTTTCTTGAAGTTTCTTGAATGACGTATGTCCCTTGCATTATGCAATTCTATAAAATGAACTCCTTCCTAAAGCCACAGAATAACCGCAGCGAATCCCAGACATCAATAGAACAAAAGCCTGACCACTGCTTGAAGCGCGGGTCTATTGTGTTATGCCCCCTCCCCCACCCATGTGCTAAAGCGACACTAGGCCCAGAATCTCCACAATTGGAGCACCTGGCAGAGACATAACACATTTCCTGGATTTAGAGGGAAGGCTGCACAGCCACTAGCTGAAACCTCCAGAAAATGTACACCACGGCTATTTCAGCTGTCAGAGTGCATTAGATTGTCAATGTCGAGTGAGAAAAAGTCATTGTTTCATTGCTTTCAGCGAGTTTCTTGAGCTTGGTAAACATGTTTAAATTGTGTGTAATCAAAAAACCCTGAATTGAAGGCTGTAAACATAGAAGACATCCCAAGAATGCATGGTTCACAGCACAGGAAGTGTAAAGGTGCACTAGCTCTGGATGCAAACTACCAATTCTTTGTGATTTGACCTTGGCAGATCCTAATTTTAATCATAAATTATTTTACTTCTTGGTGCTTCTGTTTACCATCTGTAAGAGGAGGTTATTAATACTTACCTCACAGTGTGGAGAGGGGCATTTATACACATAGAAACAATCAGAATGGTGCCTGGCACACAGTAAGCTCTCAGTAATGCTAGCTCTCGTTTTATATTTACCTAAATATGTCCTTTCATCCATCAGCTACATTATTGGACAAAGAATTTTATCAAATCACTGGCCAGTTGGAAGCAGGGACAGTTATGAAAAACAGACCAGACCTAGTGATCTGGAGACTCAAAGTACAATGCCAGGAGGCCTCTCTTAATTTTGTCTTACTGACCTCGATATTAAACCCATCCAAAGCAATTCCAAATACCCCATATTCCCATCAAAGCAAATGAAAAATTTCACAAAACCCAATGAAATCTACATTAATTTTCCATTTTATGACTTTTTATCATAAGTATAAATTTTGTATCAAGAAAACTTGAAAGTAGGAGTGATGGAACACACCTGTCTTCCCAGTACTCAGAGGTGGATCACTTGGACCTAGGAGGTTCAAGGCCAGCCTGGGCAACATGGAGAAACCCTGTCTTGTTTTTGGTTTTGTTTTGAAGAAGAAAAATGCAATTGGTATTTCTTTTGGAGGGAAAAATGGCGGACAAAAAGTTTATGCCTAACCTTTGCTAATTTTCAAACAAGGTTCAGCTCCTGTTATTAATGACTGGTCATACTCATGAAGCTCTCACTTTCTTCCTAACTCTAAAAGTCCTTCTAATATATTTTGAAATGATATTTCTGCAGATGGAAAAGGAAAAGGGTGAAACAGGACCACTGTCTTCTTTCAGGGTTAAACTAATACTAAACCAAGACTATAACCCAAAACATCTTCACCAAAATTAACTAGAGAGTTGGTAGTTCTCTGAAACTTGTATAAATTTTATTTATTACTGTAAATACTAAAATCACATTGGAAACACCTTAAAATCAAGTTCCAAACCACCTACTAGAGAAAAATCACTATGGCATCCAGTTTCTTTGATTGAACCTGGTTAACAAAAGAGGCAAAAGACATGGTTTGTGATGAAAGTTACGATTCAAATGCTAAATATTTCCAAGCTTTAATAAAGTATATACCAATTCCAAGTACCAAGCATAATATCAAAATTCAAATTCATTGGTTTACTTTTAATAAGCATCAAAATCAAATTCTGTTCATTGACTCCTATCTTAATTGACTTACACAATGCATTCAAAGGTGAGTTATAACTAGGAAAAGGTAGCCATTGAATGCATCATGTATAAAAATGCAATTAACATTTCAAAACCACACTTAAAAGAGAAAATACCTGAAAAGTTAATTCTATTAATAAAATTATTTGAAACAATATCATCCTGCAGATAAAAATACATTTCTCGTATATACATGTAGATTTCTACATGAAAGATAGGATTCAGCTCCAAATAGACAAGGGCTGACTCCTGATAAAGACATCTTAGATTGCCAAACCCATGTGATTACCACTGTGAAGAGAACTGAAAACAGAAGGATAAAAGGGTTAGATTAAGGGAAGAATAAAAGTTTAGTCACCTACTCTGGAACAGTGGCAGAGTTGGGTGAAAAGCAGGAGATGGAGGCAGAAATGAAACACAGAAGACAAAGAAGGCCTCAACTCTGACTGGAAATGGAGATTCAAGCAAAGTTGAGAACATATGATACAGTTGCAGTGAGATACTTAAAACTAGAATCTGGCAGTTATAGTTATAGAAGCTCAATCATAAAATGGAATCAGACAAACATCTAAAATTTCATCAAGGACCATATTACATTGACTAGATAACTCAGCATATTATCATTTAAAAAAAACACAAAGCAAAACAACAACAACAAAAAAAACTGCTCCAAATAACATCAAGTCATCAGAAAACATTTGAATCAGACCATATTCATTGAAGCTTAAAAAGTCCCTGACTGGCTGCGATAGACAGTACAGTACTCTAGAAAGAAATCCTATTGAGAGGTACCAGTGCCAGAAACTCCACTGGACCCTGGACAGGCCCTGCACTGTGGACTTTTCAAATGACTGGACCAGGTTGTGTCCAGCAAAAACATCCTATCATTTTGCAGATAATGAATTAAATTGAGATTGTTCAGAACAACCCCAATTGTGCTGGGGAAGTAAGAAGTTAAATAAGATAAAGAAATGCCACCAAAACTTCATGCAAGCTAGAGCATTCAAGTTTGTTGCTTCCTAGTTAATGCTGTGTGCAGAAGTATCCTTTAAATGACATTTTCCTAGCAAAAGGCTCCCATTTCCTCGAATATAAGAATAATTGCATTATTTGGGATCCTTGATCATTACAAATCACTCACTGTCTCTTTTCAAAGACAAAGTTGTTTCATTTTACCCAAATCCTATACTGAAAAACAACCGAGGTGCTAAATATTATCACCAGTCATGTTAGGAATGTCTGAAGAAACTACATTAACCTTGTAACAAAAATGTTTTTGTTCAAATTTCAGACATATGTAATTAAAAAACTGACTGGCCCCACCAAGTTAAAGATAAAGGGAGCCCTAACAACTCTAGAGAGCTTATACACACACAAGTGAGTGTCACTTTTATATCCTAGTTTTATTAAATATTGCTTCTTTGGGATATGTTTAACAGCTCCCAAAACATTTCTGTGTAAGGATTCAAAGCGGTCATATTAAAATACAGCTTCAATATAAAGTTTGTCACAGTTTTACAGTATTCAAAAATGACAGACCTGCCTTTAAAAAAAAAAAAATCAAAAAAGACCATTACACCCCAAAACATAAGAAAACAATTAAATAAACAAGTTTGGCATTTTCATTACTTTATAGTATAAAACAGAATATTAAATCTATTACTGGCAAGCGGACACTGATTTATAACCTAGTTTGAAATGTGTCGCATTTAAACACACTATACAAGTTCACTATACAAAAGATTGATGGTCTTTTTGATGAAAGAAGTGCACCCTGAAAAGTTTTGCCAGTTTAGAATATTTAGCTCTTAAGGTTTTTGTTTTTTTTTTTTAAAAAAAAAAAAAGTCCTTTTCCTTTTTAAAACTGAAGGCTGAATTCAGCCTTTTTTTGTGTGTGTGTGTTGTTTTTTTCATTTGTCAGCCTTCCTGGTTTAAAAACAATAGTGTCTATGGTCGCCCACCAGGGGGCAGTGTAAGATTAGCCATTAAATCACGAACAGCTGCAAATATTGTGCATTCACCTGCAACAGAGAAAAATGGTCATTAGCTATTCGCAGTACAGGAGAGACGTTAACACACCGGTGAGGGGAGGGTTGGTTAAAATCAGTAACGAATTTGAAATAAAAGACTAGGTATTTCAAGCTATTCAGTTTTTAGGCGCTGGAATCTGTTGTGGGATAGCATTTTGTTTGTTTTTTTGTTTTTGTCTCAGGAAGAATCTAGGATAAGTGTCAAGTTTAAACAGAGAGAGAAAGATGCCTTAAATGCATAGAAACAGTGCCGCATTGGGTAACACTTTAAAAAAGTCTGACTTTAGAGTTGAATGCGAATGGTTCTAATAACAAGTTCTAAAGTATATTTATGCATCGCTTTACAAATTCTGTGATGTCCTGTTAATGCTGCATGAAAGGCCAGATAAGAATGCCTCCAACAGGATAGGAATACTGTCCAAAAGAACATTCTGCAATAATGGGAACATGTATGCTGTGTAACCAAACACTATTTTGGCTACAAAACTGAACATTTTCATTTTCTAAAGTTGTATGTAAAGACTGAAGTCAAATACAAAATGTTTTATTTTAAAAGGAGAAAAGGTTTGTTTAAATTTAAAGTTATTTTTTTCCCCCTTTTCTTTCCTTTTTGGTTGCCACAAGACAACAGTCTCACTATGTAACCCAGACTGGCTTGGAACCCATAATCCTCCTGCTTCAGCCTCCAAGTGCTGAGATTATAGGTGTAAACCATCAAACCAAGCTATGATTGATTTTCCTTCAAAGCTCTTCACTGTGAGAGATGGGCAAGGAAGCCCAATTGTTACATACCAAGAATCTAAGGCAGCAACCCTATCAACTTCTCTCTGCCTCTTAGTTCTTGTAAATACTGCAAATGCTTAACTATTATAAAGAAAAACTGGATCTTTCCCACTAGAATACGTTTTGACACTACCACAGCTGACAGGGGAAGAACTGAAACCCCTGTATGAATTATGGCCTTCTGTCAAAGGGCAGGACACAGTGACTCTGCAAATCACTGTGGGCTTTTGCTCCAAGCACTGGAAAAGAAAGGTACAGAACAAAAGGACAAAGAAAATCCAAAGGCTTGTTCAGCCAAAGAAGGAACAAAGGGAAAAAAAAGAAAGCACTCCCACAATACCTTACCAATTTCTTAAAGAACTGAGGTAGGTTAGATGTGTGTGCATGCACGCGCACTGTATGTGTGAATGCTGCACACACAGGCACATGCATACACACTTCTTTGACACTTTTATTGATAGGTAGAAAAAATTGCTTGATCATAGTAGGATCAAAACATTTCTCTTTTAATTTTTAAATTCCAGAAGATATACTACATAAAAAATAAAATAATAGCTGTGTCTATATGAAGGTATTGTGTTTATCATCAGAGTTCTACTAGATCACTACCTTGAGAATTCTGGTAGCTTTAATTTTGATTCCTGAGGACTTACTTCCAGCTGAAGAGAGAGGTCAAAGAATGAAAGCAGAAAATTTTCAGAAGTAAAAGTATTATAACAAAATGAAGCATACTGCTCTCTACTGCCCAGTGTATTCTTTAGAAAATGAAGCAAGGACTTACCTAGGTATGATGTGGGGAAACAACTTTAAAAAAAAAAAAAAAACCTTGATTTTCCTCAGGATCCCTAAAATTTGACACTGTGATACCTAAAAAATGTTTCAGAGAACAGCTTTTCCCTCCTTTACCACAAATGGTTTTGCAAGGAAGATTAAGAGGACTTCCTTAGCATTTGACATGAGTGAACATTCATTTAATTTTCTGAGTATTAGAAATGAGCAAATTCAAAGAAAAGTTCTCTTTGCTGAGCTTCATGTACTAGAACCCCAAATTTGACATTGCCAGGAGTCACATGTTAAGTGTGGGCTACTCCAGTATCGCAGCAACCTCATTATCTTTCAAGAAACACTCTGGTTTCCTCGGAAATGTCCAGTCTCAGAGCTTCATTGAGCACTCAGGGGAAAGGCTCACTTGCACCCACCTGACACTTACATAAGAAGCCCAAAAAGCAGTGATGCCATTTGTATCAGCTTTTATTCTTCACAAAACATTTAGAAGATACACACTTTTAATAATATTCTATTCATGATTGAACCATGAAGTATGAGAAACCAACATGCATTTCAACTTTGTGATGTACAGAGTGGCAGGTACTGATAGCAAGACAGGAATTCACAGCCACGGAAAATCTATCATCCTAACCTAGGGCTTTGTGGCAATGTGTGCTATAAATACAAGCTTCTGGCATTAGCAACTGGCTCAGTCCCAATAGTAAATTGCTAACAAAAATGAAGTCCAGGCAGCAGAGAAATGGACAAAAATGAAGAACCAGTAAGAAAGAAAGAAAGCGACAAGCAGACACTAAGAGGGCCATGGCAACAGAGCGCTAGTACTAGAATTGGGGAGCAGAGTAGGGAAGGAGGGAAAAGAGGAGTGAAGGGGGAGGAGGGCTCTCTCAAAGGAATTTTCATAACATATATGCAATAAAATCCCATCTACCGCTCATGTACCTTGTCGTGGTGGATTCATCTCTGCAAACCTCTTCAGAATGTTGCTGACCATCATGGGCGCAGCAACAGAAGAGTTCTGCTGTCTGGGAATGTCTGCCTGCTGGGTGGTACCTGAAGCCATGTCATAAATGATTGGAACTATTATACTAACAGGTTCTTGGGGAGGGACTGATGTTTTCTGAGTTAGTTGAAGCTGTAGACATACAAGGGGAAAAAAAAAGAAAATCAAATATTGGTTTCAATTTGTGAGACACACTATCATTTACATTTAGACTAAGATATAGCAACTATAAGAAAAATTCGAAAAACTGAGTATTATGACTGTATCACAATTATCAACTTGAATAAATTTCTGTTGTTATTATGGGAACCAGGAATCCCATGAAGTCTGTGAAGAAATATATATTTGGCAATAACTACTAAGTCAAAAATTGTTCTATTACTCTCACGTGGCTTTTTCCTCAGAAACTCTTCACACAGAGATGATGTCAGGTGATACTTACAAAAAATAGCATTTTAGATTTCAGCACCACAGCTGGTGTCCCAGGAGGTGCGATTGGTGGTGCGCTGGGAGGGATAGTGAGGCAAAACTGAACATTCCATTTTAGCTGTGTTGCTTGGTCTGGGAACTGTTGTAAAAGGGGAAGAAATGACAAAACTCATGTTAACATTTAAAATCACATCTAGTCTGGAGTCAAGGAGTTAAGAGTTTCATATACACTCAATCATTCAGACAGTATGTACTTTCTTAAAAGAAATATATACATGAAGTCAACAACTAAAACTAGGTGGGTAGATTTGTGTCCTGTTTTCTCATTCATTCCTGGACACTTCATTACTTCCAAGGCCAATACTTCAGCTTCTACTGTATCTCCAACATCTATCACAACACTCAGGGATTTACTGCTTCTTCCTTGAACCCCTAGTAATCCCAGCCAGTGGCTTCCTCTTCCAGTGCATATTTATACCTACTGTCAGACCCACATCTTGAGTGAGGCTCTAATCACACTCATAAATAAATGCTAAATGACATTACGACTTATGTTGCTCCATCCCACAATTAAGGACCAACACATGACACTTAAGGCTCTTTGAAACTTAGGCTTCAAAGTCCTGTTTCTAACTGCTTTCCTAAACTAACTAGGCAAACAATGTTAATGATTTATAAGGATAATTTACTGGAGTTTTTGTAGGCAGATATTTTCTAACATGTAAGGTCTGTTCTGTTATAGCCTATTACATCAAAAACCAACTTTGCTGTTGTTGTTTTGGTATTGTTTTTGTCAAGACCTGGTTTCTCTAAAGCCTTAGAGCCTGTCCTGGAACTTGTTCCGTAGACCTGCCTGTCTCTGCCTCCCGAGTGCTGGGATTAAAGGTATGCCAAACCACCACCCAGCAAAAGCCAAGTGTAAAGACCATTAAAAAAACAAAACAAAACAACAAAAAAATTTCCTCCACAATCCTGATAGTAAAATAGGAACAAAAATGAGGAGAGAGGTTTTAGGTTAAACAAATCAACACCAAAAATAAATATCAAGATCAAAAGACTGGGAAATTAAGAAAATATAATTAATATAATTTTAAGTAAATACCTAAAGTATGGTGGGGCTAGGGAGAAGGCTCAGCAGGTAAGAGTGCATTCTGCTCTTCCAGAGGAATCAAGTTCAGTTCCTAGCACTTATGTGGGTTGGTTCACAACTAACTTTAACTCCAGCTTAACGGATCTGATGCCCTCTTTTGGACTCTACCCACACCCACACACATATGGCATAGATATAGATGCATATACATACACACACAAAATCAAATGAGATGGCTCAGGTAACGAGAGCTTGTTGCTCATGTAGAGAACCTGGGTTCAATTCCCAGCACCCTTGTCACAACTCACAACCAACTTCAGGAGATCAGTGACCTCTTTGGCTGCCACAGGCATTGCTTTCACATGTACAAATCCAGATGCAGACAAACACAAACACACACACACACACAATTGATTTTTTTTTAAGGTACTAGAGAGATGAATCAGTGATTAAGAGAATTGGCTCCTCTTCCAGAGGATCTGGCTTTGGCTCACAATGATCTGTAACTCTAGTCCCAGGGAACCTGACATTCCTTTCTGGCCTCCTAAGGTACTTATGTGGTGGATGGACACATATGCAGGCAAACATTCCATAAAAATAAGTAAAATTTTAAAATAGAAATATAATAATAAAAAAGAAAGAAATAGCTAAAATTACCAAAGGTACATATATAAAAATGAGAAGGAAAAAAGACTGGTAACTGGGGTCACCTCTACAGAGGACAATTTACTGAGATCTATGAAAGTGACATCTATATATCCTTTAATATACGGAACAACTACTCTATTTAAAATTTTTTATTATATTTTTGTATTCATAATACAAAAGTGTTAGAATCTGGAGAAGATTATGGAGCTGCGGACATAGCTCAGTGATGGGAGCACACGGGGCTCTGTGTTCAATTCCAAGATAGGAATGAGGAGGGAGGAGGAAGAGCTCTTGTTTAGTCATCTTTATTCTTTCATTAAGATAATATTAAGGCCGAGCGGTAGTAGCCCATTCCTGTAATCTCAGCACTCTGGAGGCAGAAGCAAGTGGATCTCTGTTTGGGGCCAGCCTGGTCTATAAAGCAAGTTCTAGGACAACCAGAGCTGTTACATGGAGAAACCAAAAAGCTCTGATGAAAAGGGAAAACAGAAGGACACTTTATATTCTGAAAAGTGGAAAGAGCTCCAAGATTTATTTACTCAATGCACTAAGTGTAATAGGCTTCCATTTCAGGCAACAACTCTGGATGTCCTGGAAACGGTCTCTATTGCACACATTAGCAAATACTGAGGGTGCTATAGGTTGAATTGAATGCCTGAACAAAATAAGAAGCCCCCACTCCCAAAATCAGTTCAGGATGACCTCACTGCAAAATATAGTCTTTGCAGGTATAACCAAGTAAAGAAGAGGTCATCGGGTATAGTTATTATCCTTCATAAAAAGAGGAAAAAAAGAAGCAGCAGCATACATGGGAAGTATAGACCAGAGTGATAAGACGAGAGAGAGAGAGAGAGATGAAACATTCTGCTGTGGACCCTTTAGAGAGAACATGACCTTGCTGACGCCTTGATTTATGACTTTTACACTCCAGAGCTAGAACTGAATAAATTGCTATTGTTTTAAACCATTCTTCTAATGGCCTTATTGGTGGCTCTACAAACCTACTAACAAATGCTGACCAAGCTGTACAGAAAGAAAATAGCAGCAATCCTGCAAAAGCTCAAAGCAAACAAGAACAGATTCCCAGAGCTCTAAAGATGGCTGCTCCCCAGTTAGCATCTGCTCTTTGAGACTCAATCCTTGAGAATTCACAGCTACTCATGGGACACAAAGTCTATGAGCAACAAAGGTGGGGAGTCAGATTAGAAATAAATAAATACAAAATATTTCACAATAAAATTAGACATAAGTATATAACAATATAGCAGCAAGACATTTGCTCCTTTCATCAGACCATCTCTGCAAAGAGTAGTTACTAGGAACTCTGCTTGGACAGAGAATGGGAGAGTGGCTGGGCAATTCCCCATTCTATCACCTTGTCCTGAATTCAAAAGACAGCATTTGTCTTGTCACAGACAAAATTAAGAATTTAATTCAATTTAATCCTTTAACCCCTTTCCTAGGAGCCAGAGGCAGGTAGATATCTAGGAGTTTGAGGCCAGCCTATTAAAAAAAATTCTAAGAAAAAAAATTGAAACAATGTACAAAGTGAGATAGAATAAACAAACACCCCTCTGCATTAGAAAAGCTTTTGTTGCCAGGTGGTGGTGGCACTTGCCTTTAATGCAAGCACTCTGGAGCAGACACAGGTGGATCTCTGTGAGTTCAAGGGCAGCCTTAGCTACAGAGTGAATGCCAAGATAGGCTCCAAAGCTACACATAGAAACTCTGTCTCGAAGAAGGAGAAAAAAGCTTTTGTTTCTCGGTAACTCACCAGCTCCAACTTCATAATATGCACACAGTCACGGAGGATGTGTGTTGGTGCTCCCAATAGCTTAGTGAAGGCTATAAGTGTGTTGGCTTTAAATGGAGGTCCTGCAACCTATGAGGAGGAAAAGAAATCAGCTTATTTTTCATTCTACTACAACTTCTATGGTTCACTGACTAATTAAACAAGCATGGATTAGGAAACACATACTCTTGTTTCGAAGAATTTCTCCAAAACTTGAAGTTCATCAGGTTTCCACTGCCCTGCGTTTTCAGGTGTCACTTTTAGCTGTAGGGTCTGGTTGGTTTTGGGACTAAGGGCTACTCTGCATTTCAGGGCATCTGTCTTGAACATGATTACACCAGGCTCGTTGGAATTAATCAGCTGCAACTGCAATACAAAGTTAAAGCAAATCAGCAAGGGGAGACAAACATACTGCTGACAGAACTGTCACAATAGAAAAACAACTAAGTTGGTCCAGTTCAGCCAGACAAGTCAGAGTCTAACACTAGAGGGACAATGAGTAGAACTCAGGCTGCAACATAGCTCTTATCATCTCCAAGTCGAATGCTAATTTATTCAATGTATCTTGATATCAGGAAGGGATACAGTGACAAGAGAAGGCAAACAGAGAGAGTTTGATCAAAGTATATTATATCCACATAAGAAAAACATCAAAACAGTAGCTGCACCCACATGGTGGCTCACAACTGTAAGTCCAGTTCTAGGGAGATCTGATGCATTCCTTGGCATGCATGTGCACTGTGTGCATCTAGTACACAATTATGAAGGCAAACACACATATACACATACTAATTAAAATAAAACCCACTATTTTACATAATCCAAACAAGCCAAAAATTTCTTAGAATACTTTTTACATTCTTTTTCAAGATCTGACTATAAAGATTATGAAATGGTTTTCAAGTAATTGTACAGTATATATTATCAATAGTTACCAGTTTGACTACTTCACTTAGATACTGAGAATAATGATAACTATAAATTAAGAACACACTGAATATCAAGACATTATCCTATGGTTTTTACATGGAGCACCTCAAATGCCCACAAGTGATGATACCAGTCAGGTAGATACATACTACCTCCATCGGAACACATACCAGCAAATCTAGCAGTCAGATTGTACAACTGGTGCTCTCGATGATGACCCATCTCTGAAAGTTATCACCATAAGATTGGCTAGATATCTGTTTCTACAAGGCTTTTAAATAAGTGTAATTGCTCATGTATTTTTTTTTTTTTTTAATGAACCTAACACCTATGATCAACATGTTGATTTACTGAAGTTTCAGCTTCAAAGTCAGTCTGCCAAGACACTCCAGAGAACAAATAGTCATTTTTGGATGTGCAAGGTCAGACCCTGTGTGTACTGGTTCTGTGCAATATAGTAACCTGTTCCCAGGTCCAGGTTAGCCACATTATCTAGAAAACACAGCACAGTAAACTGTAAAACCCTCTAAAATAACACCAGAAAATGATGGGGTTTATCTCTAATGCTAGGCAAGGAAGTGAAGCCTAATTCTAACAAGATGGTTATTCAAGTGAGAGTATCCCTCACAAAGATCTTGTTCTGCCTTTGACCACAGCCACTTAGAAAGTCATACCGTTTCCTGTTGAATAATTCTTTGAAGGTGTCGTCTCATGATGACAGATCCAAGGAATCTCTCAAGTGGGGAACAAAGGTAACTGCCTGCCAGGCCAGGTACAAGGCCTGGTGTTGGAGAGGGTAGCAGTAAGATGTTCAAGGCACTATGAGTGAGGATGGTGGGTATGGATGCTGCCCAGGAGCGCTGAGGTAGTTTGCGAGGTGGAGGCATGTTGGTTGGCATTGTCTGGGAACCTTTTGGAAAGGAAAAGTAGCTTCATTTGCAAATGCATACTATCCCATTATTCCCTTTTTAGTCTTCATCATAGAAGTAACTAGGACTCCTGTAATTATCCCTCCTCATCAAGAAATATTATGTCAGTTCTCAGATAACAAAATCAGCTGCCATGATTCTCCTGATTGTATCCAGGCCCCTACAATATGACCTTGTAAGAACTTCAAGGAAGTGGAATCTGCTTCTCAACCTGGACTCTGCCTGGCCTCATGACCTGCTTTTGCCAACAGATTACATGGAAGGGATGGATGCTAGAATAGTTACAGGACTTCCAAGCACATTCCTGGACCTTTAACCCACTGTATAAACAAGGCATGATTAAGTGTGAGACCACACGGAGCACAGAGAAGCCATATCAGCTGAGGCTATGTTAGGCCACCTACAGCAGACACATGAGTAAGCTCAATGAAGTCAGTCTGTCAAAGTACAGAATTGTGAGCTAACATAGCACTGTTTTTTTAAGCACTAAAGTTATTCAACAAAAGTAAACATATATATTTGTACAATTTTCTTGATTTCTATAGCTCGGTTAACTTAAGGTATCTTTTAAGGTTCAATACTGATGGAGGTGCTGGGACTCATTCCCCAAAACTTCTGAAAGAGACAACCCTTTTTCTTATTACATTTTTCCTAACTTTGCTAATATTTTGAAGCGATTAAAAAAAAAGTTTAAGGTTTGGCAATCCTTATTTGAGAAATACACTATTACTTTTAAATGTCAGGGGGAAATGGTAGAAGTTATCTATTGGTAATGCCTAAAAGAACATAATGCTGGCAATACTCACTTGTGCCAGCTCGAGGGGAATGAGAAGCATCTGGAATAGGAGAATGTAGAGATGGGTTGGCTGGTGACATTCCAGGCAATCGGGCTGCTGGAGAGGGCCCAGACACTTGAGGAGAGCCAGGCCAGTTTCCTGCTCGTCCACTTGGTGACACCATAGTGTATGGAGAACTAGGGTCAAGGGTTCCTGAAGCAAAAAACAAACGATTCCCAAAATATGTATTTTAATGTCCTCAGAGTATATGACAATAGTCATAGCCTTAAATAGTGAGCTATTTTAGTTGTCTTTCACTAAAGCTTGATGTTTCTTAAGACATTAAAACTATTTTGTGGAGTTTGTGTTTGTTTGTTTGTTTGTTTGTTTGTTGAGACAGGGTCTCTTCGCATAGCATTGGTTAGACTGGTCTTATATTCATGGAAATCCACTTGCCTCTGCCTCCAGAGTGCCCACTCTGCCATAGTGTGCATCACTGTGCCCCCAGCTAGAGTTTGTGTACTTCCCCCAACCCCAAGATAGGGTATTTCTGTGTAGCTTTAAAGACTGTCCTGGTACTCACTTTGTAGACCAGGCTGGCCTCAAACTCAGAGCTCTACCTGCCTCTGCCTTCCAAGTGCTGGGATTAGAGTCTTGCGCCCCCACAGCCCAGAGTTTGTGTACTTTTAACCTGTATTAAGGACTAAGAAAACTAAAAGGCCTGAGAAAGGATAACTTTATCTTCAGACAGGCTTCTGAACATGTAAAGAAACATCAAGTTCCACTGAAAGGAAGACCAGCCCTGGCAAATTGTTTCCTTTCTACTGAGAAAATGATGAGAAAGGGGAAACTATACAATTTTTTTTAATTCAGTGAAGGCCACACTGAATAAGAAATAAAACCAAGAATCAAGTTTTGAAAGCAATGGCTCCCTTAACAATCTGATATTTTAAACTTCATCACAAATATACCTTTGATATACTGTGTGATATACTTTGCCACAAAATGACACACTGATAAAATATTTCTACCATCTATTTTAGTGTGGTCTTGACTTATAAAAAAGAAAGTCTTACAAATAAGTAAGACAGAACAGGAAAGTATATAAAATGGTGGGAATAAAAGACACTAAAGACAAATGGGCATTTAAAAGGATGTTTGAATTAAATAAGTGAAATTTAAGTAATAGTCAATAAAGGCATAGCCAATAGTAAAACATTTTTTCACCTAGGAAGATGGCCAAGGTTTCTTTCTCTATTTTTGACTCTTTCCTTCTTTCTTCCTTCCTTTCTTTCAAGAAAATCTTAATATCCCATGCTGATAATGTTGCAGGACAACAAACATTACTCTCCATGATGCTATAGAAAATTGGTATGGCCTATGTTGCAATTTGCCTTATGTTGCAAAATCTTTAGAATTTCTCAAATGTGGCACAACCTCGATGACAGTTTTAGGAATTTACCTAAGGGGATCATCATGGTTGTGAGTACACAGGGCAACATTTTAAATTGTGAAAAAAAAATGGAAACATTCAAAATAGATATAATATAGGAGAATAGTTAAGTTATGGTATACACAGACAAGGGATACTATGAAGCCATGTAGTATGATGATGGAGAGTTTTTACTGACAAATATTCATACAACAGTATTGGTAAAAAGTAAAGTCCTAGCTAAAAACAGTTGAAAGACTGAGGGACTTCTTTATTTTCTGATGTGGTATGGTGTTAATGATGTTTAATTGAACAGTGTGTATAATATGCTGCCATGTGGGATAGAGAGCACAGAGAGAGAGAGAGAAAGAGAGAAAGAGAGGGAGGGAGGGAGGGAGGGAGAGCACACGTGTGTGTAAAACAGGTCTGCAAGAATATATCAGAAATCAGGGACTGGAGAGATGGCTCAGTGGTTAAGAACACTTGTTTTCTTGCCAAGGATCCAGGGTTTGGTTCCCAGCACACACTGGTGGCTCATGACCATCTGCAATTCCAATTCCAGGGGATCTGATGCCCTTATCTGACCTTCAGGGGTACCAAGAATGCAAATGGCACATACACACACAAGCTCTATATATGCACGAGGACAAAACATTCATACACATAAATCTTAAAGAATATATCCGAAAGCAGTGATACAAAATGCCTCTGAGAAGAGAGATGAGGTGGCTGGTGAAATGAAAAGGTGCCCTGTCCCATGTTGTTAATCCCTGCTCTTGGTAGACTTAGAGGCCAGCCTGGGCTACACAATTTGGTTTTGAATAAAAAATAAAATAGTAACAAACACAAAGGGGACATTTTACTGACTACCTCCACCTGATCTTTATTTGCATCCATTCAAAATCATTTCTATGATGAAAATTGAAGATTCAAAACAAATTGTATGGTAAAGCACCAAGATTAGGGGAGGTATCTGAGGGGTAGACGAACCAATAGCTGGAGAGAAAGCACAGAAAGATGTAGGAAGGCCAGTAAGCACGCGGCAGGTGAAAGGAAGGACAACGCAGAGCAATGAAAGAGGGGAGGACAGTCAATGCCTCTGTGTGGAAAAACTATGAAAAAAATGTCCTTTTTTATTGCTTTTTGGCCAAGTCATATTTTTGCTGTTTCTCAAAAAAATAAGCACTAATTTTTCAATAATAAATTTGACTTAACAAAAATTACTTTCACACCAAGCTCTAAATGCTACAGTGATTTCTGTGTATGGACTCACCATGTGGACTAGCAAAACTGGCCCCTGGTCCTATTGAGATTCCATGCGAGGATGGGGGAGGAGTTGGAACAAAGGATGCTGGTGATGGGGCTCTCAAAGCCCCACTGGGGGAGCTGGCAGCATGCAGATTTCCTAATAAAGGAAAATAATTACAGATGATCTCGCAGGACACATATCATGTCCTGGCCAAGGACCACAGTTACAAAAATCTCCCTAGAGACTATAGAGACAAGTAGAAAAGGTCCCATAAATAGCATGAAGGAAAATTGGAAAGACTTTACTATTGCAAGAAAGCTCAAGTCCACGGGTCCATGCTGAAACTCTCATACACTAACTGAAAAGAAATTGTGTCCAATACACTATTTAGTCATGTGACTTTATCAACCTTTTGCCAAGCACTGTTCTAGGCCTGGAAGATATAGTGAATACAACAAACAAATTTCTGCCCTCATGGAGCATGTATCCTAGTAAAATTAGCACGATAAATCTATATAAGGTTATGACAAGTGCTATGAAGAAAACCGGTGCAAAGGAAAAGAGCAATTATTTGTGGTGGCAGAGGTCAAGACTCTAAAGGGACACATGAACCAGACAGGAAATGTGCAGGACATAGCACAAGGAATAAGACAATCCAGGCAAAACAGAAGAGCCAATCTAAAGGTCCCAAAGAAGAGGCAGTTTACGTGATAGGGCGGGAGCCAGGGAGCTGGAAGAGTAAACAAGGGTGGCATAAGATGACAGAGTTTTGAAGTGAATTCCAGATTGCACATGGACTTGTAGGTTACTCTAAGGTTTACTTTGGATGGTAGGCAACCAGCAATATCTGGACTAGAAGCCATTCACTAACTTCTGTCCTAGAAGGAGCTGGTGGCTAGTACTAGTTGCAAGGGTTACTGAAGGTTGAGTTGAGGTCTGCAAGGTGCCTGAATTTGGGGTTGAAAGAAAATAAAGGACACTGTTGTATTTGGTAAATAACTCAGCACAGGTGTAAAAGCAAAAAGTGTTCTACATATTCTGATAGCTATAGCCTGCTTAACATGACAAAAGGGGTTGTCCCTTTCTAAACTAGGTGTCTATGCAAGGATCAGGACTCAAGACTAGAAAACTAGAAACTTAGTTTTAGCCATAGCGAGTTTAGGCAAGCCACTAAATATGAGTTGGAAGTTAATAATTCCAGAGTGAGGTCTGAATTACATAGAAAAACAGGGAGACAGTCACTGAAAGCCATGGAACTGATTTTAACTTTGAGGGTTTTGAAATGGAGAACATGGAGAACTATAGCTATTAAAACTAGAACTCAACATATAAATACTTGCTACATTATCATTCCATATTAGCAAGTTTCAAATTCTTTATTACAATGTAAGACAATTTCAGTTTTTATGTTCTACAATATTTAAGCAATATCTCATACTCAATAAAGATGTCAGTCAACTTTATTTAATCGTTATGTGTTATTTTAACCTACTTAGCTGTATGATCTCACAAGTGAATTAACTTCTCCATGCCTCGATTTTTCTCCATAAAATGAGAATAATAATGGGACCTATGCCATAAGTTTGTTGTGAGAATTAAATGAGTAAAGCACTCAGAATAGGGCTTGGCATATTCACAGCAAGCACTGTATACCTGTCTACTAATTTAATCCTTCAAAATTTATTTTCCCCTTCTTCCTATGCAATAATCTCCACTCTTCCTAGAGACACACTCCCCTGGGGATCTTCCCTTGGAAATCTGCAGGACTTTTACAACCATGGTTAAGAGAACTTCCCTCTGTAGCTTTGAAAGCAGCTCCTTTCTTTTAAGAAAACTAGGACCCTTTGTGACTCCAAATATGAATGACTGATCCAGTAAGGACCAAATGTTTAGAAAAGGCTCTGCTTCTTCATGTTCTGGCCATTCAGGACAGTGGGTCCCTGGGACCTCTTGACTCCACACATATAATGTGGTCTGTCTGAAATACCCACCTAGTCTGTGACCTTGCAGCTGGCCTGCTCCAACCCATCCTTCAGGCCTTATCTTGACCCATGGCAAGGTAAAGGAGGCAGGCAAAGAAGCATCTCCAGGGCAGAAATGGCCAGTCCTCTACCAAACAGTCTTACAAAAGTCTAAATGACCCCTTTTTAAGGCTCAACACAAGAGGAATTACAGGTGGAGACTACTGGGGAGTCTAAGCAGAGGAACCACACACACACAGCTTCCAAAAAAATTAGGAAATTGAAAGATTTTTGTAAAAGAAAAATCAAGAATCTGCTTTCTTCCCCCAGGACCCCTCTGTAGAACAAAAACACCTGCTACTGTAATAACTTAAAGAATAATCCGAATGGCTGTGAGCAAGGCAAGCAGCAGAGGAAGAAGCTGCCAAGATGAGACTGGCTGAGCAATGGCAGTTGGACTATCAAGTACTCTAACTTGAAACCAAGGCAGATTACAATGGGTTGGTCAGAGGTTTATGTACAAGCCAGGTTCCAGATGAAACACTATGGGATTTATTTCACTCAAAGTATTTTATGCTATTCTCAGTTAAAAATGGAATAACTGGGCTAAACAAGCCTCTGGACCCTTCATCTCTCATCAGATTCATAGGTTCTGCAGGATTATGCACATTTCTTATATGTATGCAACACCTATACATATACATCTGCATTAAGGGATTTTAGAAGAGTAATTTAAAAAGAAAAAGAAACCCATATAAGATTTAATAATAATTAAAGGATGTTTTTATCATTTGAGGAGGGTCAGATTGCCCGCTAGATTGAGTGTGTGCTTGTGTTTGTGTGTGTGAGTACGTGTGTGAGTACGTGTGTGTGTGTAAGTGTGTGTGTATCTCTAATGTAAAGATGGAACCCAAACCCTCACACATTCTAGACAAATGCTTTACCAATAAGCGACATCCCCTAATCCTGATTTTTTAGTAATAAAATCGACAAACACATTTCCTTTACAATTTTCACCTTCCTGTATTAGTAAGAATTGAACTCAGGGCCTCATGTATGCTATGCAATCAATTAACCCCAACCCTTTCTGTATTTTTCTGCTTATGAGGTCTTGAACTTTTTGATACTGTTGTTTCAGCCTCCCAAGTAGCTGAGATTACAGGCTTGTACCAGCAGGCCTGGCAAATTATTTAATTTCATATGTATGTATGTTTTTTTTTAATTTTTGTTTCTGTTTTTCAAGACAGAGTTTCTCTGTGGCTTTGGAAGCTCTTGTAGATCAGGCTGGTCTTGACCTCAGAGCTGGGATTAAAGGCGTGCACCACCATTGCCTCATATTTTACACATAATATCATATTCTTTTATTTTACACATAATATTATATCATACATCTTTCATGATATAATAGTTTAGGTTTAATTTTTTCATTATATTGACTTAACTACGGGAGCTAGAAGGTAGGTTATTTCCCTCAAGAAATCTGATACCTGCGCCATTTACTAGATGCTAAGTGGGAACCAGGGGTTGGTACCCAAGTTCTTTGTTTTAAGTCAGGGTCAAGAGATTCCACAGAAAAATTCAGTTAAAATTAAAAACTTGGCATGCCACCCACATTTTACAGTGCATAGGACAGTCCAGCAAATTATTTTTGTCAGAACAAATAAGGTATGAAGTGCCTGACTTCAGGAACTACCAAATCTTGACAAATGGAGCAGCAGTAGAAGAACAGAAATCACAAAGAAGTCAGGAATGGTGATGTACCCCTGTAACCCCAGCACTAGGGAGGAGAAGGTAGAAAGATCATGCCTTCAAGATGATCTTTGGCTACATACTGAGTTTAAGGCTAGCCTGGGAAACATTAGGCCCTGTTATCAACAAATAATACAAAACAAAAAGAGAGTGAAAAGTGCATCCATGGATACTACATAAGCTGATATGGCTTTGTTCCAATTTGTTCATTTACTTAAGAAGATAGGCAGTGGGTTAGATTCAGTCCCAGGACTACAACTGAGAGAGGTACCACGAGTCTGACTCTAGGCACTTGAAATCAGTCTTATAAAGTGTTCCTAAACCAGTGCAAATATGAATGTCCCAACACTACTCCAATGAAAGCAGGCAATTATTTAGCCAGAGACCAGAAAAGGAATCTGTTTGAAGTGTGAGTCCACGTGTGCAGGTCTTCTTCTTGGGTATGTGTGTTTTGGAATCACAAGGTAAACAGGAAAAGAGCTTAAGTCATATCTTACCTGGAGACTGTGTGTGTATCATAGAGGGGGACTGATTAATTGTGTTGTGATAGGATGCAGGGGGTGAAGTAAGAGGGTAAGCGCCGGAAGTCCCTGGCTGCTTTGGAAATGGCTGGAAAATAAAAAAAAAAGTTAATGTTGGCATACTGGTCAACCACAGAGAGTATTAAGTCTGGCTTTCTGTCATTAAACCGACATTAGGGTTTGCCACTTCAGTGATTAGCAAATAGTAATCATTTAGATATGAAACTATTCAAAATACACATCAATCATGCAAAATATGAGGTCTGTAAAACACTGACTTGCAAGTGTTTGAAACCCTCATTTTCACCTGCTTCAACATCACTGCTTCCATCCCTTACAGTAAATATCCTTTGTCCATTTTATCTGCCACAGGGTTATTTGTATCCTGTATGTCAAGAGCCATGAAATCAATGGGAATCTTTAAATTCCCATTAGTTTAACCTCACCTTCTTTTACAACAGCAGACAAAAATGGTATATGGAGCTGGTTATATGCTTCCATGGAAGCACTGGTCCAATCTCCAGTAACACACAGACACCCACGTATGTGTGCACACATACACATAGGAGTGGTGTATATTTGGTAACGTTTACACCTTCCTGGTCTTTTTCTTTTCTTTTCTTTTCTTTTTAACAAAGTCAAGGTAATTGATCACATATATAGAAAAACATTTTATTATCTAAAACCCTTCATACTGATTCACTCTCTGACTCTGTGTTTGTGCCTTCAACATGTCCACAATGATTTTTCCACTCCTCAACGAGGAAAGCATGCCCTGTCTTCTCATACTCACTACACAAGGAATTACCATAGGGCTTACTTTGATTTAGACAATCTCTCTCATAAGAACATTAATCTCGTTGCACAAACTTTGGTACTTTGGAAGCCTTCTTGATATAAAGGTAAACAGGGGTTCAAGACAGCCTAGTTTTGTTAGAGGCTATATTGTAGAAAAGCCCACAACAGTATATCAAATGTTGAACCATTCTGAATGCCTCTGAGCACCATCCCCAGAAAAAGAAAAAAAAAAAAGGGGGGGGGGCGGCAAAAAAAAAAAAACAAAACTTAAACGCAGAAATTGATGAATGTTTTAAAAGGTTAACTACCCAGAAGTGGTAGCACCTGCCTATAATGCCAGCACTGAGGAGGCAGAGCTAAGTGGCTTTCTGTAAGTTTAAAGGCAAAGGCAAATAGTTTACATAGGAATTCCAGGCCAGCCAGAGCTATTTAGAAAGACCTTGCCTCAAAAAATAAAGAAAATAAATACATTGAAGATTAACTACCAGCATACCAGCCTTTTCAAGTCTTTAGTGCCTCCTCATAGATCTGTTCTGACTTCCATCATTCCTACTCAGTCCAGTATTTATATGAAATGTAAAAAGAAGACACCAAGACTGACAGCCTGAGTTTAATTCCCAGGACCCACAAGGTGAAAGGAGAACTGACTCCAAGTATCTTCTGACCCTCACATGTGCTATGATAATAATAAATAAGTGGGTGAAAGAAGTTGAAGGCTGCAATGGCACAGCCTTTAATTCTAGCACTCTCAAAAAGAAACAGGTAGGAAGATTTCGGTGACTTGAGGCCAGCCTGGTATATACAGGGACTTCAGAACAGTCAAGATTAGTGAGAACCTGTCTCAAAAACTACCCTCACCACCGGGCATTAGTTGGTGCATGCCTTTAATCCCAGCGCTCTGGGAGGCAGAGGCAGAGGCAGGCAGATCTCTGTGAGTTCGAGGCCAGCCTGGTCTACAGAGCTAGTTCCAGGACAGGCTCCAAAGCAATTCAGAGAAACCCTCCCCCCCCCACACACACACATACACACACACACACACACCTCACCTCAAGAATTCTAAGAGGCACTGTCAGACATTTGATTTAGAAATAAACACCACCAGTCGGGCAGTAGTGACCCACACCTTTAATGCCAGCAACTGGGAAGCAGAGGCAGGAGAGTCTCTAAGTTTGAGGGCAGCCTGCTCTACAGAGTTTTCCTGTGAACAACCTCTTCCCCCAAAAAGTTATAAACACCACCAACAACAAAAAGCAAGGAATTCTTAAGAGTTTTTACAAAGTGATAAAACTGTTCTAAAGTTCCTGGAACATGCTAACTTTTCCTTAATCTACCCACGTCTAAACCTTTTACCAGTTGGAAATTTCATATCAAGTATGAAATACTACAGGTACATACAACCTATTAAACAGGTTACAGAGTCACATTTTTCAGTGACCAAAACAATCCTTGGAAATCAACTAACAGATGATTTATTTAGGATGAAAGTAATAATAGATCACATCTCCATCAACTGCCATTATGACACTAGTCCTGCTATAGCTGTGGCTAATATCCATGCCATTTCGGTCACTTCTTCCCAAGAGTATGTGGCTCACTCTTTGTCCAATATCAAGTCCAGGAAAAATCTACAATGTAACAAAAGGGTCCCACAATAAGTACTGCTACTACTACTGCTACTACTACTACTAAGAAGCATTCCTGTGACATCTGCTGGGCAAGGCACAGCATCTTCAGTTGAGTCAACATCTGTCACAGCCCCACTCTGCCTACAGAGGCATTCACACTGGGTTTTTCTGGGCTGCTCTGTATTTTTAAAAAGGTCAGGAAGAGAAACCTAATACAGAGGAAATAAACCTAAAAAACTGCCAGGAATAATACATAAATTTCTGTTGTAAGAATCTAGTACTCTTGGAAAGACACAAGCACCAGCAAGTTGTAATTACTAAGCATAAGTAGCAGGGCAGAAGCAAAGCAACCCAAGAGCATTCATAGTACCGTGATGTATTGAAAAGACTCTGGGGGAGAAGCAGTGAGGTACTTTATAAAAAAATTACCTCTGAAGGATGTATCTCAGAACCTAGAACAGTTTGTATGTTAACATACAACTAAAATCAGAGTTGCTAAAGAGCCTCTAGCCATTTTGTCTGGGCACTGACACATGGGCACTGGCCTCTTCCAGGAAAGTAAATCACATGGGACTGGTTTAAGGATGCAAGATCACTGACTAACTTTTATTTCAAGAGAGTAGTCAGAATTAGAACAAAGGCTATCTTGAGGGCTGCTCAACTCCCAGACATGGGAAGCAGTCAGAATAGAACCAAGACACAGCTGAAAGCTTTGGAGATGTGATCATATGGCTTGGCAAAGCTGTCTCAGGGAGAACCCTCAGCAGATGCCTTAATGGACATTAGTAGACTTAAAACAACTGTCATTCAGGGCACAGTGAGGTTGTTCTACAGCAGTTTGCCTTGTATCCTGCAAATGACTATCTTTGCTATTTAGACTCTCATTGCTTTAAGTAGATGTGTAGTCTGTGAACCTGAGGTCAATGCCTTTTCCATTACTGCTAATTTTAGATCACCATTGCTATTTAAAAAAAAAAAAAAAAGAATTTCCTGGGCTTCTTGGGCCTTCCAAAGACTTCTTGCTTTTCAACAAAGAAATGTTGACACCCATAGAAGCTGTGACAATGGAATTTCAAGGACACATTACCTGTTGCTGAGGTGGCTGGAGCTGTGATATTAAAGAGTCCATCATATCACCTCCTATAGGAGATGGGGGGTTATCATCTTCATTTACAGATCTTCTCCTTGCATCCTGATTACTGTCAACAAACATGTTCAGGAACGTCTATGAATATAAATGAGCAAAATTAGTACACGGTTTAAAGCATCTTTTACGTATGTACGTGTGTGTGTGTGTGTGTGTGTGTGTGTGTGTGTGTGTGTGTGTGTGTGTGTGTGTCTGTATAGCATACACTAAAGCCTTTCCACATTTTTTGTTTTGTTTTTTGAGAAGTTCTCTCTGTGTAGCTCTGGCATTCCTGAAGTGAGACAGCCTTATTTATTTGTTTGTTTATTATTGGTTTTTTGAGGCAGGGTTTTTCTGTGTGTAGCCCTGGCTGTCCTGGAACTCACTCTGTAGAACAGACTGGCCTCAAACTCAAGAGATCCACCCAACTCTGCCTCCTGACTGCTGGGATTAAATGTGTGTGCCACCACCACCAGGAGAGACAGCCTTTTAAAATATAGTAAGATATTAAAAACCTAAGCAAGGCTAATAGAGTTTGTCTCAAGCAATGTTTTTCAGTGTGTGTCTTTCGGTGAATGTATGTATCTATGTGCAGGTACAGGTCAGGAGGGGCACTGGGTGTCCTACTCTTATTTTAAATAGGATCTCTTATTTTAAATAGGATCTGGCCATGGCATTCCAGTAATCCATCTGCCTCCATTCAACAATGGATTTACACTCACATGCAGCCATGCTTGGCTTGTTTTTTTATATAGGCACTAGGAATTTGAACTCAGATTTTCTTTCTTTCACAGCAAGTGTTCTTATCCACTGAGCCACATCCCCAGTTCCTAAGTCTCTTTTTAATATCCCTTTTCTGATCTTCAAATAAGATGCCATAATTTTATCAAAGTCTTTCAGAGATGTGCAAGGCACATTTTATCTCCATGCCCCACTAAAATTACTGAAAAGAAATGTAAAATAGTAAGTCAAAGATAAAAAGAATGAGGGAAAAAAAAGTAGTGATGCACTCTCGAAGATGGTGAAGCAGATGGGCTAACCACCTGATGAGAAGAGTCCTAATCTAAGCTAGCCAAGAAACAAAGCTATTTCCATACAGATTTTCAAAATACTTTGGAAATAGCAGTGCCAGCTACCTCGGCAGTTGAGAGAACAGGCTGCTCTTCCAGAGATCTTAGATTCAATTCCAAGTACCCACATGGTAGCTCACAACTGTCTGTAACTCTAGTTCCAGGGGATGCAGGAACACAGTGGTATACATACATATATGCAGACCAAACATCCCTTCATATTAAACAATGACAACAACAACAAAAAGGACTAATTCTCCATTACTGTCACCAGAACTCTCTGCATCAGTGCACCACTATATCCTAAAGGAAGAAGCCTGGGATGGATGGGGGGAAACTTCAGGATCATTGCAGAGAAAGGGTACCATACTTAAACTGGCTATTAAAGACCATATATTTTTAAGTCAAAAAAAGTATTTTCTTTTTCTTTCTTTTTTTTCCCTCCTCTCTTTTGACCTCTTGCAATTGAGGAATCAGATGTACAGCATCTTTGCAAATTCACAATGGCCTTACAAAAAGACACAAAACTACTGACTTGGGGAATATGGCCAAGCAGATTTTCCTATGATGAACACCAGAGTCTCCAAACCTTACCTGTATATAAGAGCAGAAAGTTAAGGAAGACTTAATAATGATGAAAGGTATCAGCATGAATAAGATCAAAGTTCTACAAAGGCAAGAAATGGAGTTTACATGGGAAGACCAGAGGGAAGAGAAAGTGGCATATATATAAGTGAACACACTATACGGTCTGAAGAGATAAATCAGGGGACAAAGTGCTTGAACCACAGCACTGAGGTACAATCCAGGAGTGGCAGCATGCATTTATTTTGTTTTGCTTTTTTGATTGTTTTGGTTTTTTGAGACAAGAGTTTCTCTGTGTACCTTTGGAGCCTGTCCTGGAACTCACTCTGTATACGGCTGGCCTTAGCCTCTGCCTCCTGAGTGCTGGGATTAAAGGCGTGCAACACTACAGCCCTGTGGCAATGCACATTTGTAACCTAGCAGCACTGTAGGTAGAGATGAAGAACAAAACAAATGAGATTGAACAATGACATAAGATCACTGAGGCTTGTTGGCTGCCAACTTACCTCAACTGGCTCCAGGTTTGGTGACATACTGTGTCTCAAGAGAGACAGAGTGATAAAGGCAGACATCGGCACTGACATCTGGCCTCCAACAAACACAACCACATTACACCACACATAAAATAAAGGCCAAGTCTAGGACGTTTAACATCAGAGGTATAAAAAACATCTAACAGAAAACATGAAGAATCAAAGAACTTTCCCAGGGCAAACAGATGTGCATGTTCAGGTAGATGCCAAGAGCCAACTTGGTAACACAAGACTCAAGCCAGTTAGAATTCAAAGTAGCAAACAAGGAAGTGCATCTTCAAACATTTTATAAAAACGATCACAGCCTAGAATTCTACACTCAGATGAGGGTAAACACTGTTGAAACACTAGATCTCAGACACACTCCATGGTCTGCATGAATCTCCTGTGTACTTTCTCTCAGGCAACTACTACAGCAGGTCTACTGCCAAAACACTAAAGTAAGAAAAAGACATGGGGTGTGTAATGCTAATCTGAAATGTCAGTTGGAAGAATCTAGAGTCACACAGAAGACAAACTTCTAGGTGTGCCTATGAGGCTGGTTCCAGAGACCTTTAATTGAGTTAGGCTAAGCCATCTTGAATGTAGGCTGCATCCTTTCATGGGCTTGGGGTCTGAAGTGCTGAATGCAATAAAAGATACAGCAAGTGCAATGCCTGCATTAAATTTGCTCTGCTTCTCGACTGTGAGTACAAAATAACAATGCACCTCAGGCTCCTGCTGCCATGCCCTCCCTGCCATGAACCATACCAAACCCTCCATCCTTGCTTTAACCAGGTTTTCTTGTTTGTTTCCATGTATGTGTGTACATGTGGGAGCAAATGTGTACAGATGCATGCGTGTGCATGCATGTGTAGGCCCAAAGGTGGCAATGAAGTATATTCTAAAAAAATATAATATTCTAAAAAGTATAATACTAAAAAAACTATGCAATCACAATTTCTACCTAAGTATATTGCAAAACCAGGAGAAAGGCAAATGTATTTATTTATATAATGGGAGCAGCCTGAATGAGGAAAGTGTACACAAAACAGATGAGAATTATAATGCCCTTAAGCAAAAACTCAGCAAGTGACAGTGCATCTTGCTACTTAGATAGATAGATAAATACCAAGAGAAGCAGATACCTCACAAGTGAAAACAGGTTTATGTGAGGAGTGGGAACACACAAGGAGTGAGGTAAGGGAGGAAGTTTACAAAACCAACCTTTGGAATTATTTGACTCCAAGTATGAACACAAGCATATGACTTTCCAGGAGGCTCTCCAGCAATAAAGTCTTCCTTTAAAGTCCTCAAGAGCAAATCCTTATTCATGAGAGGGAGGAAACAAGGGACCCTCCTAACATTCTATGTACACAGAAACTGTACTTAAAGCAAATTTTAGATCCTCCAGAAGGAAGTTGCAGGGAAGATACATCAACTTTACTACTTATTAGATTCCTATGGAACAGCATTTCATTTCTCCTTCAGAGCAACTATTTTCAAGATCACATTTGTTTATACTATCATTCTGTAACATTGAAGTTTATTACCTTTAATCCTGGGGCAGGATAGAAGCCTTCAACTAATTTGCTGTTATCAAAAAGACTATAGGCACCATCCCGTATTGCCACAACACCTCGGCTACGGCAGTATATGTCAATGCAGTACATGTTCCTGAAGGCCAGTCTGATGTGGGTGGATGACTGTGGTAGTATAGAGAAACACTGGTAGGCAGTGTTAGTTCTCTGAGTCAAGCCCAACATTGGCACAGTAGGGAGTTTGTTGATGGCATTTAATGGTGCCTGAGTATCAAACAACACCTAGAAGAAACAAATAGAGAGAGGTCACCCAGTTGTCAATTGGTAAAACCTAGAATTTTTGATGTGTCACTGTCACAATGAGCATTCTGGCACATCCTATAAAACTTTCTGTGGAAGTTTAAAATCAAATTAAGTTCTCAAGACAGTGTTCAAATCACATAAGACAAAGGCATCCATCCATCTTAGTCACTGAAGACAAATGTAGATAATTTTTGAGGCATTTTGTACAACACACTACCACCAGAGCCTCCAGAGCGGCTTAAAGGCATGAGCCCCATGCCTGGCAGCTTTCATTGTTTGAAGTTCTTCATTTTCAAAAGTTACATAAGAAAGAACCTTCCATGTTTTAATCCACAGACTTACTGAGCTTCCTTTGGTGGTTCCATAACACAAGATAAGTTTCCGATAATTATAATTTTTAGACAGAACAGTGAACTTAAATTACCTGTAATAACTGAACCACATTTGGTGTTTTGTTGAACATTTCTTGAAGTTGATGGAGAATGGTATTGTGACAGTTACTGCAACCTGAGTTTGGGCCAACTGTTCCCAAAGAAATGTGAAATTTCTGATGAATGGAATTCCACTGGATACTAATCTAAATCAGAGATAGCACATGTTTAAAAATTGGCAAAGTAACAGATTCGAGTTGAAGAACATAATGATAAAAGTTGCCAAACATCTAAATGAGAATTTTTGTGTGTTTGAAAATGAGTAACGTGGTAAAATTTCGAACCAAAATCGAAACATGCTGTTAATACAGATCAGTAAAGCCTCTGAGCATGTGTATCAACTCCCTTGTACTATATAACCAGAAAAAAGTCATTAAGATTTGATAATGATCACTAGTGTTCCTCAGATGTTTCTTTTTCTCTTCAACTGCAGACTGCTATTCTCAGTGCCACCAATTAAGGACCACTGTTATAAAAGAGAAGGAAGCTACCTCAAACACAGGTTCATTCACTTACTAGTGTCTAAAAGGAAACAACTTGAATTTTTATTTAATGTCTGTGAGTGTTCTCCTACAAGTATCTATGTGTACCATGTGTGTGGTTGATGCCAAGGAGGCTAGAAGAGGGGACTGGGTTCCCTGGACCTGGATGTACAGAAGGTTGAGAGCTGCCATGTGGGTGCTGGAACCAAAGAAGGATCAGCTGTGAAAGCAGTACAGCTCTCAATTACCGAGTCCTCTCTTTAGCTCCCCACTGATTTGATTTTAACGAAAAGGAGTAAGTTAAGTGTAGATTAAAGGGAGTACACTTAGGGTTAAGCTAGGAGCAAAGAATGATTCATGTAAGTCAAGGCAAAGCTATCCTGTGTTTCTCACAGCCACTCATGAATATTCTTCCTGTAATCAGTCCTGAAAGCCAACTGATTTGAAATCAGTGAGGGAAAATATCATCAAAAGTGCTTGTTTTAAAATCAAGATCATATATACTCTAATTATACAATTTTTCTCAATTTCAAGGGATTATGTACTCTATCACACTTTATTTCAGCAAAGCATTTAAAATTTACCATTTTATCTATGGGCCCTTATTTAAGGCATGTTTCTCTCCTTTATGGTGTCACAGTTTTGATATATAGCCTAGGAAAGTCCTGAACACAAGATCCTCCTGCCCCAGCCTCCAGAGCGGCTTAAAGGCATGAGCCCCATGCCTGGCAGCTTTCATTGTTTGAAGTTCTTCATTTTCAAAAGTTACATAAGAAAGAACCTTCCATGTTTTAATCCACAGACTTACTGAGCTTCCTTTGGTGGTTCCATAACACAAGATAAGTTTCCGATAATTATAAACACGAACTTCTGAGAAAATATTCAGATGAGCAGGTATATCTATGCAGAAACAAAACAACATTAACAGTACATGTGTCAGATTACACACCAAGTTTGGTTGAGAGAAGACATCCCTTAAGCCAAGACTTTGCCTCAGCTTCCCTATGTGTGACAATGCACTCCTGACCCTCCTTCTTTTATCAGTTAAGTGTTGTGATTACAGGCGCACATTACCATATCTGATTGTATTGTTCTGTAAAAGGTAGTAGCCAGGACAGAGAAGGCAAGAAAGATACTGAAAAAGTCTAACATAGTAGCCCGTATAGCATATCACCTTCTCTGTCTTGGCCTCCTGTGTAATCAATTTATGCCAGTAACAGCTCTTCCACTAATTAGCTCTATGACATTCGGTAAAGTTTTTATGTCTCTGTGACATGTTTTTGTCAGCTGTACAACTTAAATATGCTGGTGTTAGAACATACTCCAAGGATGGAGTCGTATGAGAATTCTGAGTGCTTGTGAGAAAAAAAGAGTCTTGTGAGTTCAGTTTCCTTATTACAGGGAATTGGTATTTGAATGTGCTTTTGTAACCCTCCCAAGTGTAGCAGGTAGAAATTAGTTTATTCCAGATTATTCTTTGTGAAAAAGTAAGCCACAGCATACTACTGATAGTATGCTGTCCAAACTGAACAAGCAGGACACAAAAGAAAGTGACTGTCAAACCTTGCCCAGACAAGGCCCAACAGCCCTTCAGAAAATCCTGCTTCCCAGGAAAATCGGAAACGCTAGGCCTATAGGCTGCAACATTGCAAAGGAACCTTGGGTGACTGGCCAGGCAGCCAGCTGTTTCTTTCATTTCTCACATTTTTTGGAAGTCACTTGCTCACGCATCCTGCTTACTCATGTCTATGAGAAAATTAAGGACTAGAGAGTTATAGTTTTTCTTGTTTACCAAACTCAGAAAAGAAACTCAGGGAAGAAACGTAAAGTATAAAAGATAATATGATAGTGCAAATTAGAATAGGCAAAGAATTAAGTACAACCCTTTGGACTCACCAAGACAGAATAGATATGGGTTATTTTGTCTGAATTTGTCAAATGCAAATGGACTAGATATTTTTGATGTACTTATTGCCTGTATATATTATATATAGTTATTGTACTTATGGTATATGGTTTTCCTTATATGTTACAGCCTTCTTTTTTTTAATCAAAAAAAAGGGAAATGTGGTGATATTTTGTTTATGATCTAGCAAGGCTTGAACGATCATAGCACAAAGCTAGGCACACTAGTCAGTCATAGAGGCCAGGCAGTGGTGGCATATACCTTTAATCCCAGCTGGGCAGTGGAGGTGCAAGCCCTTATTTAACCCATCACTAAAGAGGAATATAAGGTGGGTAGAGACAGGAGTGAAGTGTATTCGTCTGCAGTCATGCTGAGGATGAGATTGCACCTTTAGTCTGAGCCTTGAACCTTTGGTCTGAGCCTTGGTAGAGGTAAGAACGAACTCTCTAGTGGTTTGGCTGTTTTGCTTCTCTGATCTTTCAGCTTTCCTCCTAATATCTAACTCCAGGTTTCTAATACTAATACCAATTAGAACTCATGCTCTATATACTTGACTATTCTCTTTTTAAAACAATGTACAAGTTTTATTTCTGTTACAGAAAGAAGATACTTTTAACTTGAAAGGAAGATTACATGTACCTGGTAGAGAACGTGCAAATTCCAACACACACTCATATAATCGGGCAATGCTACTCCAATCATTAAGAAACATTTCAACTACTTTTCTACCACCAACAGGTTCAGACAACAGATTTTCATATGTCAGATAAACATGCCGGGATGGTCCTATAGGGTTCAAAAGAGAAGATTAATAGTAATCAATAGCTTAAAACTCTACAAATATACAAAAAGAATATATAAAAGATCTCACCTTGCTCCCTGGTGGAAGTGCCATTAAGCGGACAATTTGCAAATACTAATTCTGCCACCCATGTGCGGTTATTTCTACCTTGTAATCGGAAAGTGCAATCAAGAAGAGAGCGGTCAAGGGCCTTTTGGGTTTCTTCACTTACTCCCTTACAGGGAGGAATTCTGGTGATGAAAGAGCATACGAAATGTACATTACACACAAAGACAAAGAACAATGTACGATATGACAGCCAGTATATGACACCAGAGCTTCAGGTCCAACCATGTTTTTAGATCCCTTCTACAAAGAAAGGGAGAATTCCCAGCAATTGATAATATTTAAGCCACATCAGTTCACATCAATCTATATTAGAACTTTTTTTTTTCCTCCCCAAGATAGGGTTTCCCTGTGTAGCTCTGGATATTTTGGAATTCTCTTTGTAGACCAGGCTGGCCTTGAAATCAAATCTGCCTGACTCTGACCGCCAAGCACTGGAATTAAAGGTGTGCGCCACCACTACCCAGCTCATGTTAACATTTTAAAATGAGGTTTGTCTTTGTTCACAATCTTTTTAATTAAAATAGGTTTACTTGGGGCTGGAGAGATGGCTCAGAGGTTAAGAGTACTGGCTGTTCTTCCAGAGGTCCTGAGTTCAACTCCCAGCAACCACATGGTGGCTTACAACCATCTATCATAAGATCTGGTACCTCTTCTGGCCTACAGGCATACATGGAGGTGGAATACTGTATATATAATAAATAAATCTTTAACAAAAAAAGGTTTACTTAAAAGGGTTCTAGAGAACATCAACAAAAAGCTAAGGGGAACAAAATACTTACATATCCATTTTTGAAGACAGAATGACATAGTATAAATAATAAGGGTTCTAGAATCAGGAATATGCACGAATTCTGATAGTCATATTTAAGTGAATCTCAATCCTGCTACTATAAAATCAAAAGAAGAATTTCTGATTATGGGTCTTCCTTTACAGAGTTGACCTTAGTGATAAAGCTTGAGTTGTATTAACTCATTTAACATACATATAAGATATAAAAAAGGAATGTAGTAGTTTGGCATTTTAAAACCACCTACCCATCCATTTTCCTTCTACAGCTTTATATAGTATTCATCATATAATATTATGAGGTAAAATATTTTAGCTGTTATTTTAGTAGCAAAAGAAATAACAAGGTACTATATTAATTATACAGTATTTCTCAACTCAAGTGTGGCTCTCAGATTTCACAATTATTCAATATCAAGGCACTAAAACGTATGTAACAAGAAATTTGCTTTAATTCTTATTCAGACTACCTAGAACAGAGCTTCTCATTTTGGCAACAATGTTACTTTGACAGGGAATCTTTGCTGTAGAGGGCTATCTTCGGTCAGAATAGCCTCAACCTACTAGATGCTAGTAGCACTTCTGACCCCCATTTCTTAGTTAATGAGCTGCATGTTCTTTAAAAGGCAAAACTGCCCCACCTCCAAATTGAAAACCACTTAACACTGAGACAGATTTTTAAATTTTTTCCTGTGGTATATGTAGGTAGGGCAAAAATCAGATACGTGGCACAAAAACAATGTAGTAGTGCAATGCTGTTAAAGCTTACATCACAGCTTCTCTTCAACACTCTGCTTTTTGCTTTGTTGTTTTTCTATATAGTACAAGATGGCCTGGAACTTCAGCAAAACTCATGCCTTAACTGAAGTTTTGAAATTAGTGGCAAGAACCAAAAAGAAAAAAGACCAGAAAGATGAGGACGGGATAAGGCACAGGGGGGCTGGCAGGTGATGTGGGCCAGAGAGTCTGTGCCAGTGCTCTGTGCTCATGTGGCCCTTGGTGGCCATCTTTGCTAGCACCCTGGAGGCATAGCTTGGGAAACACACTTCATCTACCTCACTGGGGTCTCCAGGTCAGCCTCAGAAGTGGAAGGGCTTGGAAAAGGCAACAGGCTCCTTGAACTCCCATTGCTCAGAGCTCTCATCTGAGGCATAGTAAAGAGCCCCAAGAGAGAAGGGCAGGTAAGGAAGTAGGTGGTAGGATCCCATAATAAACACTGCCATGAAAAAGAGCTTTACCATCTAGAAAAATCTATGGGCCATATACGTGATAGATGAAAACAGCTAAAGCATCACCTAGTACAGAATCTATGCATTATCTTTCTAGCATCTATGGAAATGCACAGGGACAATTCCACATCTTTACCAAATTCTAGAATTTGGTGGGGAAAAAAAATCAAGATACAAGCTATCTAGCTATTGATAGGCAACAGTATAGGACAGGCTATTATTATTCCCTAGAGAACATGATTCATCTTGTAACAGATGGTAACCCATGTCTGTAAACCCAGCTCCTCAAGGCTGAAGCAGGGGGAATCTCAACTTCAAGGCCAGCCTGAGCAAATGTAATTTACACAGACCCTGTATCCATTGAACAAAATCTAGAAAGTTACTAGTGGATGTAGCATAGTGGTAGAGACAATGCAATGGAAAAGAAGTTGCTCCATCCAAGATGCATTACAAAAGTTGGGCTTGGGAACATGTTTATAATGACAGCACTAGTGAGGCAATCCATGCACTAGGGAGATGCTACCTAATATCAAGGGGGAGGGGGTTGTTACAAAGTCCAAAATGCATGGCAATGTTGAAAGGTAATTGTGAAACAAATGACCCAGGCATGTGTGGCTTTTATGGTCAAAGTCTACATAAATATTGAAATAGCAATGTTTGGAAATATTTTGTAGATTTATCTTCCACATACTAGTTTCTTCTAGATTGTCCAATTTTTTTAAAAAAGTAACTAGCTGCTTCATTCCCCCTTTTCTGTCTGTTTATTTGGAGACTTTAGGCATAGTGTTTACCTGGCATGGATTAATAGAACAAAAGATTTATGTTTAAGCTGACTTCCATTTAAACCATTCAAGTTTATTTTGCGGAAATGTTTAAGTGCCTTTTCTTGGGCATTGTCATAACAAACAGATTTCCCTTCAGACTAAATTACCTTTTTATGTTACCTACATATATGTATGTATGTATGTATGTATATACATATGTATGTATTCTTTTCTGATACAACCCAGACTGAGTTTAAACTCACTGTGTAGGCAATGATAACTTGAACTTTTATTATTCTCAGCTCAGCACAGTAATACAAATCTGTAATCGCAGCAATTACAAAGTAGAAGCAGGAGGACCAGTTTAAGGCCATCCTCAGCTACATAGCAAGTTTGTGTCCACATAGGGATATGAGAGTCTTTGTCTTAAAGGGGTGGGGGGAGGGGGAGACAACAACACACAATGCCTTCTTTCCACTTGGCTCAACCTAGTAAGTACAGGAATTACAAGCATGCAACATCTACATTCAACTTGTGCATTTGTAATGATGGTGCTTGTACCCTATTTGGAGCACTGAACAAATGCACTTTACATTTTAAATAACAATAAAATGTTAGCCAAATATGGTTCTGGTGTAGCTAGGATGGTAGAACTCTTGTGTAGCACACAGGAGGCATCAGGTTCAATCCCAGGTATCATGCAAGACTAAATTTTACATACTATCTATCTTTTATGACTACCATAATGACTTGACGTAGATAATTATATTTTGGATATTTATAGAAATCACATATGCTACCTGGGCATAATGGCTTATGTCTATAATCCAAGGAATTGGGAAGTTTAGTGAGGAAGATCACCATGTTCAAGATTAACCTGGGCTATAGAGTGAGATCTGTCTCATATTATTGCCCTAAAATGTAAGAAAGAGAATACTGAGGATTTGTCCACCCTTATTCCTCATAACACAGCCATTCCAGGGGAAGTTCTAAAGCAGCCAATTCAGACGGATATTTCATCCTGAGCTTGAGAATATAATTGCAGACATATCTTCCTTTCACATTAGGTAGATTTTTTTTTCCCCATCAGATTCACCAGGTTATAAAATAAAAGCACAAAATCTGCCTGGATATTTCCAAGTGAGTACAAGGTAAGTACAAAACTCCTTTCAATTTTAATTCTCTACTGCAGCAGACCTCTGAAAGTACACCCCAAGTCAATTTTTAGTTTTTGTTGCTAATGTTACATTTTTGATACTGGGTCACCTTTGGTCATGCCAGTATGATTACATGAATAGAGGAAATAAAACCAGATCCCTCCTAAAAAAAATAAATCTGACAAAACTATTATACAAGAATAATGTGTTGCTGGCACATTCCTTTAACGCCAGCACTCTGGGAGGCAGAGGCAGATGGATCTCTGTGAGTTCGAGGCCAGCCAGGTCTACAGAGCTAGTTCTAGGACAGGCTCCAAATCAATACAGAGAAACCCTCCCTCTATCTCTCCCTCTCCCCAAGCGATGGTTCAGCAGTTAAGATCATACTGCTTACTTTTTCAGAGAGCCAACATTCAATTCCCAGGACCTACATGGCAATCAATTCATGACTGCCTGTAACTCCAGTTCCTTCAAGGGCATTGCACACAGCAGTATACAAATGTCCACGCAGATTATAAAAACTATACACATAAAAAATTTTAAATAATATCCACTAAGAACTGAGGAAAACATTACATGAACAAAGAGGGTTAACCTTATCTGAAAACTTTAAAAAAATTAAAAAGTGTAATTTAAACAGTTACTCCCTGGGTGATGATTTTCTAATATTGAACAACCTGAGAAATTAGGCTAAAGTCCTCTAGGGAACCTGTTTTTGTTTCTTGAGATGAACATCTCACTATGTCCACACTGGTCTTGATGCTCTGGGCTCAGTCTCTTAAGTAACTGAGAATATAGGAACATGCTCCAGCTTCCAGTTTCTGATGGTTTCTTAGTGCCACTGGGAAAAGTTCTATATTGCTGAAAGATATAAAAGTCTATGGGCTCGAACCCTTCAGGCTTACACCTCCATGTTCATCTCTCCTTATCTCCTGCCATGTTGAACATTCAGGTGAGCATACTGAGCTTTCTCTTACTTCCAACCATTCAACCATTAGCAGTTAGGACTTTCTACTCTAACCCCATGTCCCTGTCCTCTGGCAAATTCTCATCATTCCCAGTGCATTCTGGGTGTAACTGGTACTTTTTCAGAAATTTCCATCTTGACTTCCGAATTAGCCCACATCTCCCTGCTATATGAATCCAAGCATCCTGGAGGGCCTTACCAAAAATAAAAACAAAACAAAACAGAAAATCAAGCCTGAAACACAGTAAATTATGTCTAACAAATGAAAGAGAATGATGTCCTATAATGCAGCTGGTGCTGGATTCCAAAGGCTAAAGAGAATCCCCCTGGACCTCAACAATACTACACAGAAATCTACACATACATAGGCTTTACACTGTTTCACAGGAGAGAAACTGTTCTTCAGTGTGGGTACAATGTGTGTTACTGTGGGATAACCCTTCTGTACATTGTGAATATGTATTACTCTCACTGGGTAATAATAAAACCAATCTGCCTATACTTAGGCAGAATGAGGCTAGGGGGAAAGCCAAACTGAAAATACAGAGAGGAAGAAGGGCAGTCAGGAGATGCGAGCCAGCCACTAGAGGAACAAGTGCTAGAGGACAGGTCAAGCCACAAGCCACAAGCCACATGGCAAAATGCAGATTAATAGAAAAGGTTTAATTTGAGTTACAAGAGCTAATTAGTATTAAGTCTGAGCTATAGGCCAAGCATTTATTAATTAAGCTTTTGTGTGATTATTTGGGACAGGGCAGTTGGAACAAGAAAGTTCCACCTCCATTTACACGTGGCACCACGTTGAGACACAGAACAGGGACTTACTTTAATAAGCGAATTGCATGGCTGAAGCCATCACCTTCTACTTGCACTCCCTGATGTGGTATCTCCAGGTTGGACAACTGGAAAGAGAAAAGGCACAATAGTATTAAACTGTTTATTTTACAAAAGAAACCAGCTTTTCTCTGCACCTTATCTATTTTCATCCTAGCTGTTCTAAGGCCAGTCTTTCTCAAAGTGACAATTTATCAGGCAAGAGCCCTGTTCTTATCAATAAACTTCATGGCAAGTGCAAGGCAAAGGAGCTTCAGCCTCTGCAGCTTAAATCTCCACAGTAGACAAGTCTTCAAAATTCCGGAGATAAAACCACTCATTTTTGCTTCAAGCTAAAAGTAATCCAAAATCAGTTCAAGTAGTTCCAAATGAAGCACCTGGTTCTATTATTTGTGATTCTACTGTTTGATCAAAATGAAACTAAAGTCAGGCAAATGTAGGCTAAAACTCATTCAGTGGAGCTCCAAGATAGGAAGGCATGCCAGAAGGTCCTCTAATAGAGGAAAGAAATGCTTGACCTCAGTAAACAAAGGCAAGTCTTCTATGATGGGATTTTTACATACCCTGATCCAACAATGATTTAAATGTTTGTCTACTCTACTTTAAGGACCAGAAAGAACAGAAGTTTAGAAAGCAAGCTAATGACCAAATAGGTAATAGAAGTTCAAACTCAAAAGAACAGCTCAAAAAATGACATGCTATCAAGAGAGAAACACTGCTAATAAAATGACATGTAGTTATTCACAACACGGTGTACATTATTATGTAAGTGGGAAATTTGCTTGTCTTGGTTTTAACATTTCTACCACTTTGAATGAGAAATTGTTGTTAAATTTTTTAAGAGCTTAAATTAATTCAAGCAAGGACTGTAGGAAGTTTCCTATGTGTATAGCATGTATGTATCACAGAAAAGGACAAAATATCTGTGCATAAGCATTAGTCAGTACCATGTACACCTGAAAAAAAGCATATATTTCTGCCAATTCAGCAATGTATTGCACTGCTCACAAATCATTTTCCTACTCTCTTCCCACCAACAAGGTAATAACTGAGTGATATTCCTATAATCAATTCAAATGATAAGATCAAAGAGAAGAACACACTAAGTAAATTTGAAGCATAGATAGTGTTCCACATAATATATATAATATAGGAGCTGAGGGTAGTTGTTATCCTCCACAAATCCCTTCTTTTGGAAATACAAAAAAACAGAAGTTGAAAAAAATGGAGCTATGAACTGAAGAGATGGCATTAAGAGCACTGGTTGCTTTTGCAAAGGATCGGGTTCAATTCCCAACACTCGCATGCCAGCTAACAACTGTCTGTAACTCCAATTCTAGGAATGATGCAAAACACCAAAGCACACACATTAAAAAAAAAACTAATCATAATAAAAGAAAAAAGAGAGGTTACAGCAGGTACAATGACATGTGACTGTAATCCCAGCACAGGAAAGTAGAAGCAATTAAAGTTCATCCTTAGCTACATAGCAAGTTTAAGGCCAGCCTACACTACATAATACCATTTTCAAAAAAGAAAATAAAACAAAAACAAAGTGGTTATCCTCCTTTACCTTCATATTTGGAAATGATGGTAAATATCACAATACCATATCCTTTTTTTAATTATTTATTTTTATGTTATGTGGACTGGTATTTTGCCTGAGTGCATGTGTGTGTCAAGGTGTCAGATACCCTGGAGTTGAAGTCATAGACAGTAGAGTACTGCCATATGGATGCTGGGAATTGAAACCCTGGTCCTCTGGAAGAACAGTCAGAGCTCTTAACTGTTCAGCCATCTCTTCAGTCTGATTCTGCATTAGCCAACCGATTCTTCCATAACACCAAAGTAAACATTTAGTTTAATATTTTTCTAATTTACTCTCCAAAATGAGTCCAGTGTTATTAGTATTCAAATAACACGTATTACTTTACCAACTCAACAAAGAGCCATTTGTTATTAACTAGCCATTTATGATAGACTTAAACAATATTCCTACTATGAAGTAGATGATGTTTGTTGTTTAATTTTTCTTTTCAAAACAGGGTTTCTCTGTATTGCTTTGGAGCCTGTCCTGGAACTAGCTCTGCAGACCAGGCTGGCCTCGAACTCACAGAGATCTACCTGCCTCTGCTTCCCGAGTGCTGGGATTAAAGGCGTGTGCTACCACTGCCCAGGAAAGATGTTAATTTTCAAAAGTTGTCTACTTTTGTTAATTGGGAAGAATTTAATTTCCATTATCTAAAGAGAAGAAGAATTTGAGGTGATGGAATGGGAAACAAAATAGGCCAGTTCTCCTGCTAGAGTCATGCAACTTGACTTAACACTTGAAAATTCCAACTCACCTCCAATCGAAGTCCTACAAATGGCATGTTAGTGTCGCACATAGCAACAAAATGAGCTAGAACTTTATTGAAGGCACACATTTCTCCTGATCGTTTGGCTTTCTTGCATTCTACTGGACATGGGTCATCAGACAACTAGAAATTAAAAGAAAATTTTAAGAAACTGTGCAAAAATTACATGTGACACAATTCATGAAAGCAATGGAAGCTCTACAACAAAGCTTAGCGTTAACCCAAACAAATGTGACTCCAAACAAAGGCATAGTGAGTAAACCATAACCCAGACACAAGTAGTTAGTAAGTCTTTTGTTTAGCATCTTCTTTTGTGGAAAATTACCAATTAAATTATCAATTAAAACAAAAGCATTTAGTCAAATGTGGTAATTCTAGTAATCAGGAAGCAGAATCAGAAAGATTATGAAATTGAGGTGATCCTGGGCTATAAAGAAAGGTAACATGACAAAAAGCTGTCCAAAAAAAAAAAAAGAGGGGGCATGATGTAGCCCAGTGGAAGAGTGCTCACCTACATCAAAGCTACCATCCTACCCTCAAAAAAGGAAGAAGTGTTTTTAAGAAAATGTAGGTAATTGTTTCACGGCTGTCCTGTACCTTAAAAGGGGACATTTAATTCTTTTCTGTATAAAAATAACGAAACTAAGCATGGTACCATATGCCTGTATACCTAGAATTTGGGATGCAAGGGCTGAAGGATGCAAATATAGAAGCCAGAATTAGTAACACAACAGTCACAGACCAGCCAAATCTACACAGAAGATCAAATAGCAAAAATAAAAGAGGCAGCCAGGCATGGTGGTGCATGCCTTTAATCTCAGCATTCTGGAGGCAGAGGTTGGCAGATCTCTGAAATCAGACTCTAGTCTGGTCTACAGATATCTGGGAATATACAGAGAAACCATGTCCAAAAGACAAAAAAAAAAAAAAAAAAAAAACAAAACCAAAACCAAACCAAACAAAACAAAACAAAAAAAAAACCAAAAAAACAAAAAGAGTAATAATAAAAAAAATTTAATAAAATAATAAAATGGGACGAGGGTTGCAAAAACAATACAAATAAACTCTGCGCTTCTATGTGACCATACCTTGTGCTTGGTACCAGTTCTGGTCTGTTTCCGAGTCTTTGTATAGGAAATCAAGTCCTGGATATTGTCCTTGAATTGCTGTAGCAGCAGTGCCATCACAGGGCTGTCTTCACGATCTGCAGTGCTCACAGACATGAAGTAATACTTGTATGATAGCTGAGTGGGTTTATTGGGAACCTCAAGCATTTCTACAACCTAAAATAACCCAAATCAGAAAGAAGTGAGACCCAGTAGAATAAGAGCCCTTGTACATTTTCCATCTTATCTCAAGTGTAATTTTAAACTGTTGTTTAAAAAGACATCTAAATTAGATTTATAAGGAAAAAACCCAAAATATTGTTTAAAGAACCATTCTTAGTTAAGTATATAATCTGTCTTCTAAAAAAAAATAGCAATGGTAAAAAGAACTTTAAGAGTAAAGGCAGCAATAAATACAAGAAGTAATTAAATTATTGGCATTAGTTATTTTTGATATATTTCTGATCATAAATTGACAAAAAATACATCTAAGCTGAATGGGTCTTCTGGAACCCACAGAGATCCACTTGTCTCTGCCTCCAGAGTGCTGGGATTCAAGGCATATGCCACCACTGCCAGTACTTTCCTATTCTTAATGGCCATGGTAATAATTAGTTATTTCTACTTTTTTAATACAGCATCCCTAAGTGACAAATCTAAAGGAACTAGAGTAACCTACAGTTAGGTTTGATCTAAACCAAATTTCTGTTTTGCTCCTAGGACACAGACTAAAAGCTAGCAATTCATTGATGCTAAATAAAGCCAACAGAAACTTAACAATATGTATCTACTTCAATTTTATTTGGGTATGGCTGACCACAAAGCTCTATGCATGTTCACATATTGGTTGCTCATCATTTTACAATGTAACAAAAGGAACTCACCAGAAACTGAAATCATAATTCTTCACTACATGTCAAATCTACTTCCATACCTGATGTTTTAAAATTCACAAAATGACAAAATCCATGTCAGCAGTAGACTTATTAACCTATTACATGAATAGCTCGGCCAGTATCTGGTATCAATTTAAAGCAGTATATATTCAAAGCTACAATTGGAAACTTTAAAAATTCATTCCCATTCCTTTCAACCAGAAACCTTGAATTAAAATTTTCAAACACCTTAGTTTTTTGTTTTGTTTTGTTTTGTTTTTTTGTGACAGGGTTTCTCTGTAGCTTTGGAGGCTGTCCTGGAACTTAGATTTTTATTGCAAATACTTATTTGTATTTGAAAATGTATTTATTGTAAATTCTTGAAAAAATTCTAACCAAGTCAAAGAACTCAAAAAATGCAATTGAAAAGCGGAAATATGAAAACTCAAAAATCAAGAAAAAAAATCTAGGAAGAATAAAAATATGAAAGGACCTCATATCCCCTGAAAAGAACATGCCATCAACAAAATACAGTATGGCATCTGATGGGGGATGTCCTTCTGTATATATGTTTCTTTTATTGGTTGATGACTCAAACACTGATTGGCCGGTAGCCAGGCAAAAACTATAGGTGGGGCCAAGAGATGAGGAGAATTCTGGGGAGGGGGCACAGAGAGAGGTCACCAGAGATACACATGTAGCACCGGGAAGTCAGGATGCCAGGTATTCTCTGGTAAGAAAAGGTCATGTAGAAATACATAGATTAATAGTAATGGGTTAATAATTAAGAGAGAGATAGCCAATAAGCCTAAGCCATTGGCCAAACAGCTTATAATTAATTAAGAGTGTTTGTGTGTTTATTTGGGGCTAAATGGCTGTGGGACTAGGCAGGAAAGAAACTCCATCTACACCCATCAATACTTTAGCCAGACTATACTTAACAGATTCATAGTCAAGTAAAACCAAGAAAATCGAGCAAGTATATATGACACCAAACTCCTCCAAATCTTCATAATATAGTTAATTGCACTCAATTGTTTGCATTTAACCAAAGAGATACTTAATTCCAATCAGAAACTAAGCTTTTCTTGTCCAGCACAAATAAAGCCTCCCCAACAACCTAGGCCTCATTATGGATGGCAGAGACAGTATGGTGTGAGATGGAAACTACCTTACATTTCTCAACAGAGACCTGGCTACTTTTCTGGCTTCATTTGTACCCTCTGTGTTGAAAATCCCTATATGAAAGTCAGATACTAAGCAAAATTCATTTGCAAATGAAATTAGACAGGACAGCTTTCTGACTACATCCAAACTTAGTGAACTTGTTCACTCCCAATCATGCTTGGCATACTTACAATGTAGTATTGTGGAAGGCGGGTAAGTTTAATAAACAGCTTATTCTTAGAAAGGTTTCCAATGGGATGCGTTGAATAGTTGGAAAGCTGCAATGTTTCAGTGGTTATTGTAGGCAGATGCTTTATAGATTGCTTGCAACGCTGTTGTCCGAGCCAAAACCTTAATTTAAAAGATAATCCACATCATTAAATCATAACTTTTAGGGTTAACTGTATGTCACTGATTTATAAATTAAACAGCACTAAAGAATAACTGAAATTTAGTCAATGGACACATGATCAAATCAATGAATGAGTCATTTCTACAGTTTTGTATTTGGTTGCTAATTCTACTTCTACCATAAGAAATTTAGTTAGGAGGACTGGGCAGTCTAACAGTGGAACCAGAATTTATCTCTAGTGCACAAATGGACTTGGGGAGCCCATTCCTCATGAAGGAATACTCTCTTAGCCTAGATACATGGTGGGGGGGGGGAGGTAAGGCCCTGCCCCAAACCATGAGATAGACTTTGATGATCCCCCATGTATCTCCTCACCCTCCCTGGGGAGTAGATGGGAGGTGGGATGTGGGGGTCGATAGGGGACATGGGCGGATGGGAGGGGAGAGGGAACTCGATTGATATGTAAAATAAGATTGTTTCTAAATTAAATAAAAAAAGAAATTTAAACTACACTGTGAATAATTTGATTTTGGGGGGATAAAAAATGAACTGTAAGCCTAATATTACAGCTTAGTTTATCATACGGAATACCAGATTACCAATGATTAAAGACAGGCCAGCCTAAACTCAATATCTTTCATAAGAAGCTGGGTGATTGTAGCACAACTTTAATACCAGAACTCAGGAGGCAGATGGATCTCTGTGAGTTCAAGGCCAGCCTAGCCTACAAGAGTGAATTCCAGGGCATCCAGGGATACACAGAAAAACATTGTCTTGGGGGCTACACACACACAAAATCACTATAAAGTGGGAAGATAGTATCAGCTGTTTAATGTCAAAGAGTCAGCCCTGAAAACATACATATATGTAAAAGCATATGGCTTTAACTGGTTATATTTAGGAATATAGATGTATATTCATATATACATACATGCAATCAATAACAGTGACAAAAGAGGCCAGGAATTTGAAGGAGAGTGTGGAGGGGTAAATGGGAGTTCTTGGAAGGCGATATATTATAATCTAAAAATTGAAATAAAAAACAATCTAAAGTGCTCATAAAACAAAACCGCAATCAAGCACAAAACACTATTTTTGCTCTCATCATTGTAGACATTAGTCCTATGTTTTAGCAAAAAGTATGTGTAACTGCCCTCTTCCCTCCCTCGGTTTCAAGTAAGACACTGGATTTTGGTGAGTTTGCTATAATACTCCTGTGGGTGCTTGTATATAACCGGGTCATCCTTGTGGCTAGGATAACATATAATATACAAAAAAGAGATAGCACACTGGTTCAGACCCTTACTGACTCATAAAACACAAAAAATAAGGACTTTCACAGCAATATAGCAATGCCAGAAAGGCCAAACTATTAAGAGCATACTGGCTCCACTTACTGAATAGGGTATAGGTTAGTTTGGGGAAAAGTGCTCTACCAAGAACTACATGTGGTACAAATGGTGTGCTAACCATGTGCCTTGAAACTGTGCCAGTACATATTACATCTTCTTTATGGAGGGGGAGCTAAGATCAAATGCAGATTACATCCTAAAGACAGTTTGCCAGCTAAACCGAAAGTGAAATGTGGGGGGAGGTGGGGGTTTCTTTCGGTTTGTGTTTTCTTTTTGTTTTTATTTTTTAAAGATTATTATATATACAGTGTTCTGCGTGCATGTATCCCCACAGGCCAGAAGATGGCACCAACTCTCCTTATAAGTGGTTGTAAGCCACAATGTGGGTGTTGGGAATTGAACTCAGGACCCTCTGGAAGAGCAGTCAGTGTTCGTTGTTTGTTTTTGTTTGGAAACATATTCTGATCATGCAGCCTGGTGGGCCTGCAACTCATCATGTAGATCAGACTGGTTTCTGAATGTCTCTGGCCATTTTATTACAACTTTAAAGGATCAACTGAAGAAATAAAGATAAACTTTGAAAACATATCATTTGCTTCATTTTGGTTAAGAGGTGCAAATGGATATTCATGCCAATCCAAATTATTAGAGACTGTTATGTCTACTAACGTTCTTAAAAGAAAACAGATAAGCAATCCTAAATAGCAAGCCAGGCGGTGGTGGCATGTGCCTTTAATCCCAGCACTTGGGAGGAAGAGGCAGGCGGACCTCTGTGAGTTCGAGGCCAGCCTGGTCTACAGAGTTCCAGGACAGGATCCAAAGCAATACAGAGAAACCCTGTCTTTAAAAAAAAAAAGACCATAAATAGCCAAACAGTAGTGGTGTATGCCTTTAATCCCAACACTCAGGAAGTTGAGGCAAGCAGAGTTCAAGGTCTACAGAGCAAGTTCATGACAGCTAGGGCTGTTACACAGACAAACCCTGTCTGGAAAAACAAAACTCAAAATAATAAATATTAATACACAAGGTAGTCTTTTAAAGTACATGTGGAATTACTATTTTTCTTTTTTCTTTTTGTCCCTAGGACAAAGTCTGACTAAGTATCCCATTTACAATGCCCAATTCTCAACATCCTGAGGGCTGGGCTGGGAGTTTAACCCACATTCCTAGCTTACTAATTCACCCATGATTTTTCATATGATTCTGAAGACCAAAAATATTTCTATGTGAGCTTTATACAAATTTCCCATAAATATTTTCAATGAAAAAAACTGTGCAGCTTCTGTAATTATTTTCCAGGCTATGTTTGTTTGATTTTATTGGAGTATATGTAACTTTATGTCTGTTGATTCTAATAATTAAAAAAGTTGGGGGCTTATACTTTGTATGTGGCTTGTTTTAGGTTTGTTTAGTTTGGTTTGGTCTTTTAGGGATTAAAGACCCCAATATGTACCTCTGGCTGACCTGGAATTCATTATGGAGACCAGGCTGAACTCAAACTCAGTGATATTCCTGCCTCTGCCAAGTACTAGATTACAGGCATGTGCCACCATGCCCAGCTCTTTCTTTTATTAGAATCTGCTTTTATTGCATAATACAAAAATAGCCTGCAAACCAGCTGCTCAATATCATTAACCATTAAGGCAAAGTATGCTAAGACTGCCATGAGGTATCTCCTAGCACCAAAGACACTAACAAGTGCAAAAAGAAAAAAGATATAAAAACAGAAACCCTCATAAGTTGACTGAATAACAAAGTGGCACAGCTAAATTGGAAAGCATTTTGGGAAATTAAAAAGTCAAACACAATTTTACTAAATCTCAGCAATTCCACTGTTAAGTTTGGTCAAAGAGAAATATTCACATCAGCCAAGAAGTGTAACAACCCCAAGTTACTACAGAATAAAGAAAATATGGCACATTCATTTAGTGGAATATTATACAAGCATAAGGATAAAATACCGGTATATGCCATAACATAAACCTTGAAAATACAAGGGGAAGAAGCCAGTCAGAGATCACACAGCTTATGCTTCTGTTTATATGGTAAGTCCAAAACAATAGGTAAATTTCCAGAAATAATTTGTGGTTACCTGAGGCTAGCAATGATGATTAACTGTACATGGGCAATAGCTAAACATTTTATAACTAGATTGTGGCAACAGTTGTCAAACATAGTAAATTTACTGAAAATTAATTGTATGCTTAAAGTCAGTTAATTTTAATCACATTTAAATAGCAGCTCAGAAGGTTGGAGAGATGGTTCACTATTTAGGAGCACTGACTACTCTTGTTGAGGACCCGAATTCAATTCCCAACACCCAAATAGCAGCTCACCACTGTCTGTAACTCCAAGATCCGACACACTCACACAAACATACATGCAGGCAAATCATATAATAAAAATAAGTTTAAAAAATAGCATCTCAGCTGGATATGGTGTAATAAACATTTAATTCCAACACCTGAGATGCAAAGTCAGGAGGATCTGTGAGCTCCAGACCGGCTACACAGTGAGACCCTGCAAAGATAAGGAAAACAATAGCTCAAAAAATTTCTACAAACTTGCCGACTCCTGATAAATTACCAATAACCTGGCTATTTATAATGAATCATTTGATAAGCACTGTTGTAAGTAAAATCAGAACTTCCAAAATTATGTGAGTTATAGACATACATTTGATAAATAAATGCTTTGTGGGATTTCGAGTTTTGGTTTTAGATAGTACTACTTCTTATAGCTACAAGAGAGACAAACAACCTCAAATTATAGAGGACATGAATTACTAAGTATATTAGGTATTTAAAACGTGTGTTTGTTTATAAATGTACAAACATGAAACTAGAATCTTAAAAACTGTTACATAGATTGCGATGAAAGAGATACTTTAAAAAACAGCTCATATATAAATCTATCTAGTGAAATTTAATAAGCATGTTAATAAAATTACTTGATGATGAATTTTTATAAAACCAGGAATTTGGGATACAGCTTGGTAATTTCTAAGCATGCCCAAAACCCTTGGTTTGATCCCTAGCACTACATAAAAACCAGAATGATTGTATATGCCTAGAATCCCAGCATCTGGTAGAAATTGAAAGATCAGAAGTGTGAGGACACCCTTGACTACACAGAGAATTGCAGGCTACTTAAAACTTTGATTTGCACCCCCACCCCCAAAAGGAACTAGAAGTGGCAAAAGAAGGAAGATGCTAGAAACACACACACACACACACACACACACACACACACTCCAAAACAAAACAATCTTCCTTCTCCTTCTCTCTTTTCTATTTAACAGCCTGGAGGTTTGCTATATACCTCTCTGCTTGATCATGTACATGTGGTACTCATGGCAAGCCTCCTGCCTCAATATCCTAAGTACTGGTATTAAAGATTGCAGATACACCACAATGCTTGGCTGGACAACTTCAGTTTTTATCTCTGAAACTAGTTTTTATTCCATGGAATCTTAAAAATATTTTAAAGATTCTAAGGTGGACATGGTGGTTCATATCTATAATCCCAGTAGTTGAGAAGTAGAGGAAGGAGCATCAGGAGTTCAAAGACTATCTCAGACACACAGTAGTAATTCTGTAGTAGGGCTAGGTTATGTGAGACCCTGTATCAAATATAAAAATAAATGAATAATAAGAATGTTTTGATCCAGGGTGTGATGGCACACACCTTTAATCCCAAAATTTAGGAGGAGAGGCAGGTAGATTTCTGTTGAGTTTGAGGCCATCCTGGTCTACAGAGCTAACTACAGGACAGCTAGGGCTGTTTCACAGAGAAACCCTGTCTCAAAAAACCAAATAAAGGAAAAAAAAAAATTTTTAAATTTAGGTGGTAGTGTCGCAGCAGAGGTAGGTGGATCTCTGTGTGTTTAAGACCAGCCTGGTCTCCAGAGTGAGTTTCAGGACATCCAAGGCTATACAGAGAAACCCTGTTGGAAGGGGCAGTGGTGGGGGTGTTACAGTTGTCGTAATGGAACATCAGTGTAACCAGAGTGGTAATGAAAGCCCAGATAAGCTCTGGTTCTGTTAACAGGGTGACTTTGAAAGAAACTAAATGACAATGTTAGAGAAAAGGGAACAATTGTTCTGATACTTCTGCTGAGAGATTAATACCACAAAGATTCTGGATAAGAACAAACAGCATTCTATTAGAGGACATGGTACAAATATTCATTAAGTGATGTTTGAAGTGCTTGTTCTAAGAAAATATATCAAGGAGTGATATTTAGTGCCATGCCCCTCTGACTACCATTGTATCTAGAGGGGAATCTGATATTAGTGAGGATTGCCATACTGGATGCATTCCACGGCAATTTAGAGGCAAAGGCACCAAAACATGCTCAGATTTCATGTCATAAACTTTAAGGACAGTGACAGATTAAAACTAATGATGGAGAAGAAAATAAATCCTATCAAGGTAGGTTTCCCTTTTCATTCTTGAGCTAAATTAAGTAAGCTTACTTAAGTTGCTGAATCCAAGGGATGATCCGCTTCATGTCATCATTCACACATTTTTCCATGTCCTCCAGAGTGGCCTGGTCTACAGAATAAAGAATTATCAATTTACTGCTTACAAGACAAACAAAATCTTTATCTATGCAGCAATAATTTAAATGAAAATTATTTTTTTAGACAGAAACCCATGTTACAGCTGAGTGAGAAAATAAACTAAATCCGTCAGAAGCTATCAATCAACTTGATTTTCCTCCTTCATATTTTATTGGCAAGAGCAAGTAGAAAATACACAAATAGTACTTGGCATATTAAGAGTTTTAAAAGCTAAATAGCATTTGCAATTTATAAGTATGTAAAACTAAGAAAATTACTAGACTTAGAACCATAATTAGAAAAAGAAACCATAGCCTATTGAAATACTGCTTTTTACAGCAAATTATCAAGCATACATAAGGAAGACCTGTTGTCTAAACAACTGGCTTGCTAAATGTAGACCAAATTTTTAGTGACAGTAAAAAACTATTAACATGTAAAACACTAAGCAAAGAATAAGGCATGAAATGATTTCAACTAACTGGATCAAAATCTACAAAAAATTAGACAGAAATAAAAATGACATTATGGTGTACTATGCCATGCCCCCACCTCTCAATTCTTATACTGAAGTCCTTATCTCCACTGCAATACTGTTCAAAGGCGGCTTTTGTGAGGTAGCTAGGTTCAGAAGGGGTCATGAAAGAGGACAATCAGGACAATTAGTATCTCTATGAGCAGTTCTCAACCTGTGGGTCATAACCCTTTTCACGGCGGGTCACTATCAGATATCCTGCATATCGGATATTTACATTATAATTCATAACAGTAACAAAATGACAGTTCTGAAGTAGTGATGAAACTAATTTTATGGGCATGATTCCTACAACATGAGGAACTGTATTAAAGGGTTGCAGCATTAGGAAGGTTGAGAACCATTGCTTGCTCTACAGGAATGGAGAGTGTGCATCCCCATGGAAGCGTCAGGAATGAAGCCCACACTAAAACTAACTCCACTAACACCTAGATTATTGTTCTGCAGCCCCCACAACTGTGAGAAAATACATTTCTACTGTGTCTTGTTATAGCAAATTGACCTGTATGCACAAAAAATTATTTCCTACCCCTTTACATTTATATGTGCTGTTAACAATTGAGAAAATAAAAATAGCTAAAGAAAAGGCTTTGAGATGGGAAAGGCACACAAAGGTACATGGGAAGGTTTTACATTTATATGTGCTGTTAACAATTGAGAAAATAGCTAAAGAAAAGGCTTTGAGATGGGAAAGGCACACAAAGGTACATAGGAAGGTGCAGCAGTGGTTGGAGCATGACTGTCCTCAACCATTAGTAGTCAGTAGTGGACCACAAGCCCACCCTCCCTGCTAGAGGAGCTGGTATGGTGCACTCACTAGCTTCAAAGTCAGCAACCTCCTACTGAGGTAGCTGATGGACCTAGCCAAATTATAGTAAGCTATGGGTAAGCTAACCAACACCACACTGACTGCTGATCATGTCAAATATGCCCTTGTTCACTGGTATATGAGGGAAGAGATGGAGAGTTTTCTGCAGTCTATGAGGATGTGGCTACTCTAGAAGAGATTATTTTGGAATGGATAATGATGAGAGAAAGGATGAAGAATATTAACCAGATGATGTAATTTTTGTGCTTCCTTGGGATGTCTGCTGTTATGTGGAACTAACTGTGGTATCCTGAGAAACAAAAGTTATGTTTCCATTTTAAATGGGTGTGGGGGGAAGCTTTAAAAAAAAAACAAACCTCTGCCATATGCCATTATCTATCATAAATATGTGATTCAAAGTCCCATTTTCCATGAGCTGCTAATATATTTCTCTAAAAAAAAAAAATCTATCTATCTATCTTTCTTTTTTATTTGTTTGGGTTTTTTTTTTGGGGGGGGGGGTCCCGAGACAGGGTTTCTCTGTGTAGCTTTGGAGTCTGCCCTGGAAGTAGATCAGGCTGGCCTAGAACTCACAGAGATCTTCTTGCCTCTGCCTCCCAAGTGCTGGGATTAAAGGCATGTGCCACCACCGGCTGGCAAAAATCTACCTTTTTAACCAGGTGTGCCTTTAATCCCATTTTATAAAGCGGAGACAGGGGGATCTCTATGAATTCGAGCCTGCCTGGTCTCCATAGCAAGTTCCAGGTCAGCCAAAGCTACATAATACCATCTCAAATAAGAAAATCCCTTATCAAATTGTTTTGTTTAATATTAATTTCAAATGAAAAACATGCAAGCATATTCAGAAACATCGAAGAATCATAGAAAATGCTTTTGTTCCTGGTAAATATATATCATTTGAGAACCCCCACTCAGTAACAGAACAAAGTACAAAGAAATCAAACTTCATAGCTGGGAATGAATATAGTTAGTTCAACCATTTGCTTAGAAATAAAACTTACATTTCTACTGAATTAAGGGTCAAGAAAAATTATTCTAGGGCTCCATATCCCAAGTTATATAGTTATACTGTGATGAGTACCTTCTCTAGACACAAATTTCATTAGCAATTCTTAGTAGGCATTTCTATATCATTATTGGTAGTGAAATGAAAATTGAATTTCTGGACAAATAATATAAAACCCAACAGATATCAATGTTATTGCTTTTACTTAATAAACAAGTTTAACTTCTGATACAAAAAAACTTGAATCAGACTTAGGAGTTCCTAGTACTGGATGTCATCCAGATCATTAGTCATTCCATACTTATCTTCAACACTGTACACATCACCCTTACCTATACATTATAGTAGATAATTTTTTTTGCTTTCCTTTAAAATATATTTCCTTGAGACAGAAAGATGACTTGGGGGTTAAGAGAAGTTGTTGCTTTTGCATAGGACCCAGGGGTTCAATTCCTAGGACCCACATGGTGGTTGAAAGACATCTCCAGTTCCAGGAGATCTGACCTCTCTGGTTAACAGGCATGCATATGGTGTGCATACATATAAGCAAACAGACATACACAGATTCTGACATTTAGCAACTTACCAAGTCCATAAAGCATCAATTGGAACATTCCAGAATGCAAATCTACAAAAATGTGTAGGCACTCTGAATTACCACAGGGCTCCAAGATGGGAACAATTAGAGCTGGAAGTGCAGTCTCTATGGAAGCTGAACAGTTAAGAATTAAAAAATTATTTTTCAATCTGAATATTTTCACAAAATTATTTTTCAATGAATACAAACAAAGGAAAGTCTGAATATAGAAGAAAAGACACAATTCTACAGACTTTGGAACTGAACAATAGCATCAATTAGTACTAGCTGTAAAGGAAAAATGTCATTTATTTAGCTGATTTATAAGACATATTTAAAAAAACAGAAAGAACAAATAATTCAAAAATCCCATAAAAAGAGGTTACTCTACCTGATAAAAGACCAATCCCAGTTATCTGAGTTACTTCTATTCAGTAAATTTAGTAAGTCAACTTTTAGAGGTTTTTTTTTTAATTAGTGGAAAACTGAAGAAAAAAGTTTAATATACAAATTTTATTCATATACCAATAGATTATTAATATAATTTTTTTATCTTAAAGATTTTTTTGACTCTGACAACAAGGAACTCATGTTTTTCAAGAAGCACTTAAAAACTATTCATTACATGAATTTTTTTTTTGTATACCTCATTTTTAAATCCCAGATGAGATGAGAACGTAGACAACTGCTACAGTCAAACCTGTAAAGCTAACAATATACTTAGTCTAAGAGTTTTGTGGTACCTCTATTAACTTGCCCTTTAATCTCTCAATAAAGCATAATAACGAAACCCAGTAATTCAAAGCATAGTAAATGCCACTCAGGTTAGGAATGGCAAAAGAAAAGTCTTGCCTAATGACACACCTCAAAATGCCTGCCTTCCAATAGGTATTACTCCTCTGTATTATTTTGTCAAATAAGAACATTAGCTTCTCTGCTGTGGAGCATTCCTTTATACTGAGTGAAGATCTGTCACTCAGATCAGTTTAATAAAAAGCTGATTGGGCCAGGTGGTGGCTTTAATCCCAGCACTTAGGAGGCAGAGGCAGGTGGATCTCTATGACTTCAAGGGCAGCCTGGTCTACAGAGCAAGTTTCAGAACAGCTAGGGTTGTTACACAGAGAAACCCTGACTTGAAACAAAACAAAACAAATTTTTTAAAAGTTGATTGGCTGGTAGCCAGGAAGGAATTATATGTGGAACAACCAAACTAGAATGATGGGAAGAAGGAGGGAGTCAGAGGAGATACCAAGAAAGCTTGTGTAGAAAATAAGGTAGCAGGGTGTTGATGGCACACCCCTTTAATCCCAGCACTCTGGAGGCAGAGTCAGGCAGATCTCTATGAGTTCAAGTCCAGCCTGGTCTACAGAGCTAGTTCCGGGACAGGTTCCAAAGCAATACAGAGAAACCCTGTCTCGAAAACAAAAACAAAAAAACAAAACAAAAACAAACATAAAAACCAGAGGCAACAAACCATGAGCCACATGAAAAAAAAAAGCACAGATTAGAAATATGAGTTAATTTAAAGAGTTGGGAAGTAACAAGCCTGAACTATTGGCCAAGCATTTATAATTCATATTAAGTCCCCATATAGTGTTGATTATCTGGGAGCAGGTAATCAGGACAGGAAATTTTCCTACAAATGGTAACCAACATGGGACACACCAGATAAAGTTTTCATTTACATCTAATTATTATTTATCAATAAAAAAAAATCAGGAATAAGATATCAGGGTAAGAACCTGAAAGACCAGAGAAGCAGGGGAGACTAGAGCCAGCCGCCAAGGAAGCAGGATGTGTAGAAAATGAGGTCAAAAGTCATGAGGTATGTGACAAAGCATACATAAAAACGGCAGTAGCAAGCCTGAGCTATTGACCGAGCATTTATAATTTATATTAAGTTTTATTTGTTAGCAGGCAGTCAGGGACAGGAAAACTCCTCCTACACTTTCTACACACCACCAGCCACTAGCAGCAAAAAAAATGGCAAATTTGTGAAGGGTTTCCTGGTACACTGAACTGGTAGCATGAACAATCCTGTATTCAACCTTTGGCCCCAAACAAATAATAGAAAATGTCATCTGTGGCTATCCCATCTTGAATATGTACAGTCTCATTGAATCTTATAGACTGAGAAGGGCAAGGCCTAACTCAGTAGCCTTACACTATGCAGGCCAGGTTGGCCTCGATCTCAGCAATCCTCTGCTTCAGGCTCCCAAGTGAGAGGGGATTATAGGCCTCAAACACGATGCTTATCCCTTTCACTCGTTATGCATCACAGAAATTGTCTACCACCTCATAAATTTTTAATATTTAAAATGGGTGAAAATACCACTAGTACTATCTACATAAATAAAATATAAACAAAATTAATAAGGTAAAAAGCTGAAAGAGACTAAAAAAGCTTTATAATCATGTATAAGTCAACATCAATGCAAGAAATTAGTTCAAAACAATAGTGTTTTGCTGACTGTATTACATTGGACAGTATAATAAAAATATTTACAGTTTATGAAGCAGGGCTGCTGACCATGTATGTATTTATGTAGCAGTGAAAATAGAACCCAGAGCCTTAAACATGCTAAGTCCATACCTACTACTAAGATATCACCAGACAGGGGCTACTGATAAAACATTTCTATAGAGTTATAATTTGTAACTGGCACAGTGCAATATATTCTTTAAAGCAAAACCATTTTAAACTATAATAAAGTACAACTGGCAACTTTTAGTTTTATAACAACTATAATTTTAATCTAATTATCAAAGTTGAATAATTTTGTGTAGATAGGCATCAGCAGACATACATCCAACAGAAACTAATTATGATACATATTTTTGAATATATTCTATGGCTGCTGATATCTATTTTTGGTGGAGTTTTATTTATGTTTGAGAAAATGAAGAGAAATATGAAAGTTATGCACAATTAAAAATGGTTATTTAAGGTGGGTGATGGTGGCACATGCCTTTAATCACAGAAGCAGGAGGATCTCTGAGTTTGAGGCCAACCTAGTCTACATAGTGAGTGGCAGGACAGCCAGGCAGGGCTACACGGAGAAACCCTGTCTCAAAAACAAAACAAAAGTGGTAGTTTGTTGTATGCTGCTTCCACCTGGCAATGCCAGTTCAGGTCTAGTGGGTGGAGACACCCAAGACTCAAGACAACACTGAGAACTGGATGCATAATATCTCCCTGCCTAGCACGAGTTTGGCCTTCTCTGCACGTGGTTTCCCCTGAGGCAACTCCACCCCCCCACCCCCCACCCCCCCCATCCCCACTGACCGTGAAAGCATACACTTCCACGTGTTCTGTTCCAAAGCCCTGCAGCTATGCCTTCTCCAGGGCCTTTCTTGAAATGCTCTAATCTCTAATTACTCCCTTCAGGCTCTTCCAGTTAGGAATCAGGACAAAAGTAAAGTGAAGCAACAGCACTAACATATCAAAGAATGGACTTAAGTGCTACAAACCTTTAAAGACACCTTTAATTCCAGCACTCCAGAGGCAGAACCAGGACTATCTCTGTGAGTTCCACATTAGCCACAGCTATACAGTGAGACTGTGTCTCAAACAAATACAATTTATACCCTAAAATGGTGGATAAACAGACTTTTTCCTGGTAGTCCTAGTTTCAGAAAAGTGCTGATAAATAGGACTTGAGGTACCAATCTCAAAATCTCCAAGTCACAGTTCCTGTAACACTATTCTCAAACACTTGAGCCATCAAACACTTGATGGGAAATGTCATTCTGTAAATATGTTGGTTAATAAATTGAATAAAGCACTGCTGGCCAATAGGAAAGCAAGATAGGTGGGACTAGGAGACTAGGAGGAGAGAGGAAGAAGTTGGGAGGAGTTTCAAGATGTAGAACTCCAGGTTCTCTCTCCCCTACGATAAGACCACGTGGAAATACTTAGATAAATAGAAATGGGTTAATATTTAAGACAGAGCTAGCCAATAACTAATTAATACTAACTAGTAACAGGCCAACAGCATTATATCGAATTCAGCGTCTCTATGTGTTATTTGGTGCTGGTGTGGTGGTGGGACCAAACCTGCAGGAAAACCTACTCTTAAACAGGCTTGAATCCAAGTGTTTCTACTGAAACTAGAGACCTAGGAGGGGAAAAAAAAAACTTATGCTAACAATAGCTTCCAACTAGAATTGGAGAATGGGGCCCAAAGCATGTATACATCATGTTTGAGAACATGCAGCTAAACTCAGATCTTCTGGCTAGTCAATAGAGACACCTCTACAATATGCATGAAAGAGAAATTACGAGAACTTAAATCAGTACACCAAACCATTACCACCCAAGCTTCTGTTTTAGAATTTACATTTGGCCAGGTGTTTTGGCATATACTTTTAATCTGGAGGCAGACACACAGAAATATGTGAGATTCTACATACTGATTTCCAGATGGCTAGGGATACATAGGGTCTCACCACCACCCCCCAAAAAAGAGTTCACATTTGGTTTGATATGTGGTAATTTATGTATGCACTTGGAACTTTGGGAAGTGGAGGTAGGAGAACCAGTTCAGATCATTCTCAGGTACATAGCAAGTCTGAAGCCAACCTGAACTGAAGGACTAAAGGATGGAAGAAAGAAAAGGAGGAAGGGAGTGAAGTACGGAGGGAGGGAGGGATAAAAGAAGGAAAAAAGGAAGGAAGGAGTAGAAATACCATAAAGTTACCAAGCATAGGGGAAAAAATTCTTGCAAATCTTAATGTATAAAAAGGGACTTGTATCCAAACTATACAAAGAACTCTTATAATTCAACAATAAGAAAAAAAGATAATACAATTATAAAATGGACAAAGGATCTGAATAGACACTTTTGCCGAAGATAGATGAAAAGACCCTCAACATAAAGACAAACAAGCCAAAACTACAATGAAATCTCACTTCACACTCAGTAGGATGGCTAGAAAAAAGGAAAAGAAACAATAACCAGTACTGGGGAGACTGGGGAGAAGACAGAACCCTTACACAGTTGGTAGGACTGTGAAATAGTCAAAAGATTAAACAGATCACCTAACCATTATTATACTCACAGGAATATATGCAAGAGAAATATAAATGAATGTTCACAGTTGGACAGATGTTCCCAGCTATACTCACAATAGTT